ACTTCCTGGTGAGATGATTTACAAGGGATTTCCACATGTGTTTTTATAGTCCTGCAATGAGCTTCACTTAAGAAGAAATAGCTGACAAGTCCACTCAGTCATGGAGCTTTTGAGCATTTTTCACTATCTTCCTCAGAAGATGGAGTTTGTAGACATTCGAATTTCCATTTTCCTCATATTAGAAAACTGAGCACCAAATCATTCAGCTAGTCAAGAGGGTTCTTGGTTTTCTACAATACAGATATTCATGCCATTAGTGAGCTGTTTATTGCAACATGAGTGCACATGTCTGCACATTTACAGTTTGTAATAACACACAAAACCCTGTACAGCTGCACATCAATCTAAAGCACAGTAGGGTTTCTGTAGTGCGATTGTTTGCTTCAAGTGAGGTGTTCAAACAGGTAACATCGGGCGTGTTTATATTCACCAGATTTGATCTAATCTAAGTTCATAAGAGTTCATCTAAATTCAGTGCTGGTAGTCATAACCTTACCTTTATCCCTTCTTCCTGCGCTCACTTCAGATGTTTTAAGCCCGGCAGTGGTCTCTGTGTCAGACTCCGGCCCTCATCAGATCCGTGTGAGCTGGGGTCCCCTGCAACTGGCTCGGGTCCAGAGATACACGGTGGAGTATGGAGCCATTCCAAGCGGACATGTCCAGACTGTGACGTTAGACAGCCACAAAAACTCGACCTTACTTACGGGCCTGGAGCCAGGCGCTCAGTACCTGGTCACAGTCAGTGCTCTGCATATGAATGGGAAAGAAATAGCCATGTCAGTGAGGGCATGCACTCAGGAGGGTACGCTTTCTGTTTGACATTTGTATACCATGTTTTATGTCTGTGTGTAAGTATGAGCTTGTGTCTTTCCAATGTTATTCCAGGTAATTCAGTTGTCCTTGCTTAAAAGCATCACATTTGTTCTGTTTATTTTCCTTTTGTGAAAGCTGACCTTTTGAAGTTGCCAATTTAGAGTTCCTTTATGAATCACTCCTACTTTTTTCTCGGTGTATCAGCTTCACTTGACTAAACTGTTAAAATCTTGCCCTTGTTTTCTTTTGTTTCTTTCCCTTGCAACAGCTCTGCCTGCTCTGGCTGACCTTCAGCTGACCCCAGTGGAGCGTAAGGAGGTGCAGGTAGCATGGCAGGCCCATCAGGAAGGCTTGAAAGGTTATTGGCTCAACTGGGAGAGAGAAAACACTCACAGGTCCTCCTCAAAGTCCTCTGTCTACCTGTCTGCTGCCTCTCAATCCACACGGCTCACACATCTCGCCCCGAGCAGCCGAGTGTGTGTGTCTCCAGTCTATAGCTCAGGCCTAGGAGACGGGTTATGCTGCACTGCCGAGAGTCACACAGGTTAGCTGAGCTGAATATTATCATCTGCTTTTTTCCTAATTCCTGCAATTATGTTCATACATAGCAGATTTGATTCAATAGAGGAAGTGTAATTTCCCGTTTCTCTGTCTCTGTCTCTGTCTCTGATAGATTCCAGCCAGTAGGGTTAACAGCCAGAGTATGAAAGAGCGTCTGCAGCAAAAAACATGGATGAAATCAAGCATTAAGTGCTGGATGCACTAGATAACTTGTGCAGGACTGAATATTATTTCAAGTTAAGTTCAGTTTTCATCTTAAAATGAATTACAATGACAGAAAAGACTTTATCGCATCACCTCAGCCCTCTGTCCTCACAATGGCTGAGTAAATACCCTGCAAAATAGTCTTTTTCTCCTGCAAATGAAAATATCACCAACTTCATAAGAAGTGCCACGGCACTACACCTTTGTTCAGACATATCAGTTAATCAGGAACATACACAGCTGCAGAGTATGCAGATTCAACATTCAGTCAGTATGAGGAACTACTGTTACTGAAAAAAGTTATTCATTATTCCGATTACCAGTCTGCAATGTCAGCCTTCTCTTAAATTGTACTGTTAATAATATAATTATAATTATAGCTGGTATTTACTTGAAATTAAATGAAAATGTATTTACTGTACCTTCCTACTGGGCCTGGTGTCAGATCATGTAGAGCTAATGCTATGCAATTAAAAATACAAGTACCCTAATGAATTTCAACCTGAGAAGTTGAGCTGCAGGAGCCTGATAATCACGTTGACCTGCATTTCATTTTCACAGCATTAGTAATTTCAGTTGCTACAAAAAGAGACATGGGCATCAATTTGGAGGCCTGGCACTACAGTGGTATTGCCACAAAGTCCTCACACAGGTCACCATATCCCTCAAACCCTTTTAAAACACAGTATTTTAAATTCAATGATGTCTTCATTCACAAATGTAATATCTTTCCACTACTAGTTTTCACATGAATGTTGTTAAATGAGTTAGTCTAAATTTAGCCTGAAGCTGAAGAAACTTTGAATGCTTAGGACTATGACTTTTCCTGTTAATGTTTTTCTCAGATTGGCAAATCACTTGCTCTGACTGTGAATGACTCATCCTTTGAAACGTATGAAAACAGTGTTAATTTGTGAAAATGATCAAAATACATTAATATAACACAGAGTGGTATCAGTGCAAAGTCACTGTCTACAATCCGAGGGCTGCCGACAACAAATCATGATAGATATGATGAGTTGATAGAAGATAAAAGACCAACAAAAAATAATGCTGCATCATAGTCCTTTTGGAATCATTTTCAGTGGCCAGATTTCTGCTTGTTATTTACCACTTTGTGGCTTCTCAAGTGACTCTTCACTAGTTGGACTGTTGATTGTGTTGATTATAGGAGTTTAAAATGTTCTGATTTTAAAGCTGATCACGAATGAGTTAGGAAAAATGTTTTTTTTGCCCAGAAAGAAAAGCTGCATTCATGATTTTTTGGGTTTCACTGAGTGATGGAGATTTAGCAGGCAACAAGCAAACAAGCAGCAAATACAGAAGTCACAGACAGGTGCGTTTCTGTATTGCTGTGAGTGATAAGAAGCAGGGAGGAAGTGATGCCTGCATGAAGATGACTGTGGTATTTTATGTTATCCACTTTTGAGATCAGAGTAAATTCCTCTCTGTACCAGCATCCGGTTTCTGTACATTGTGTGCGCTGCAGAGTGAATATCTACTGTGAACATTCTTTGCTTTGTATTTAACTTTATGTGCTACTGAATTTGTGGCCAGGTTTGTCTGGTGAAATGTTTTTCTTAGCAAATTAAATGACAAGATTTCCAGATTAAAAAAAAACAAAAACATATTTGCACTGTGTCCATATGCATTTGATCTTTTTGTAATTAATAGGGAATAAAAAGTTCTCTATAAAAAATGTGTTGTTCTCTCTGGTGTTGTGGTTTTTGGTTGTTTGTGGGGCCATCTAGTGGCTTTAGACTGTAATCAGATGTTTCAAACTAATATCTTTCACTGTAAGAACGAAATAGGATACACTGCATATACTGTATATTTGTCTGCAGTGTCCTGGATACACCTACTCCACCAGGACCTACCACAGAGACTGTTTTGAGTACTTTGGCAGGTGTCTGTCTGTCGTCAGCTTTTGTCACCAGTAGTTGAGATCTAAATGAAGGTCGAGCTAAAAAATGGGTGGTCCAACCCATGAGTGTTGAGTACCCATGGGTCTAAGTACTAATGTAGTAATGACTACTGAGTGCTCATGGGTCAGCATGCTGACAGGCGTCACAGCGGGTGTGATCTCATTTTACGATAGCCTCTAGTTTTAGTATTTTCTAATTACAATAATTTACGTTAATGTTGAATATCTCTTGCATGGACTCCCTGTCACGGGGTAAGGGTTTGAGGGGTAAAGGGCTGGACCCAAAATGCAGCCAACGCATGGGAGACGGTGCAGACAGGTTTATTAAACTAAAAAGGCTTACACAACACGGGGGAAGACCAGGGAAACACAGGAACTTAAAAAAGAAACAGGTACAGGCAACATGAGCAGACCGAGGGAAAAGCCGACATGAACAGACTAAGGACAAACCCAGAAATCAACAGACGAACCGACACAGACAAAGGGGAGCACAAAGACTATATAGACAAGGGAGGCAAGGGTGATTGCACACAGGTGAAACACATTAGGGCGGGGCAGACAATCACCACACAGAAAACAGGACCAAGACAGGAAGCAAAACACTGAGACACACAAGGAAACCAATTACAAAATAAAACACGAAGTGCAAAAAGTCCAAACAAAACTAACAAAAAGTGTCTGCCATAGCAAACCATGACACTCCCTGCTTATTACAATCCCTGAACCAAGTGACAAGTGGAGGTTTGTATAGGATATGAACTGTGGACTTCTCACACCCCAAGCAACAAATAAACCTCTAGACCCATCACCTGCTGCTAATGGTGGCACATCTTGTTTCTAGTAATGTTAGTGATCAATGTGATTTGTGACTTGTGGTTCATTCAATGCTAAATGACAAGTGTTTCAGTGTTTATGAGCACCCACCTCTGGCCTGCTGACTTTAAGCCAAAATACTGCGTTAAAGTTCCTTCAGTTTTTTGCTCATTTGCTGAAACCCCACCCACATGCGTTACATACATGAAATAATGCAAAAAAGCTTCCACTCCCCAAAGGATGATGGTGTAACGAATTAAGTGGCAAAGAAAGCAGATTTCACTCAGGGAAGCTGATTAATCTCTTGTGTCTCATCGACATGCACCTCAAGCTCCCTGAGGCATAAAACATAATGTTGCTTTGTGGCTTTCTGAGGGCCTAACAGGGGTTGCCTTACCAGAACGTAGCGTAGAGACAGTCCTGCTATCATGATGACACGAGTTGGATTGCCTTTTTCCATTGGCCCAAAAGGGTGTTTTAAATGACTGCACCTGCAAAGATCAAGCAGAACAAAGCACCAAGAGGGGATCAAACTGGTGCTCACCTTGTCGGCAGCATGTTGGAGTACAAAGGCTGAGTTTTATCCACCTGACATACATCAAAAATGATGATGAAGGATGCTTTAAGACTTTATATCATCTGTTAAAACTGATTCACAGACAAGGTTGTTAAATCAGTGGCAACAATGAGCAACACAATGGAGCAAGATGAAGATGAGACGCTTGTTGGGATGGGACTTCGTGTTTCTGTGTCCCCTACACAGTTGTCTTTTTACGTCATCTTGGTGACGTTGGGCATCCTGGGTAATGCCATTGTGATTGGAGTGATTGGTAAGAGTGTGTTTATGGACCGTGTTGGAGGACGTAACTCGGATATCATTATCATCAACATGGCACTGTCTAACGTGCTGGTGTCCGTGATGAGGAACACACTGCTTGTTATTTCAGACATGGGACTCGAGGTACGTAATCTTCAAGATCAATAGTTTTTAAGAGTTCCAGTGAGAAACCCTTTAGCAAGTTAAAAGAGCATGTTTTTACTCAACCTAGCATAATGGTGATCAAAGTGTAGATTGTTGACAAGAAGGTTTAGTCGAGGAAGTTTGTGTTTGCCACAACAAACTTATAGTAGCCGAAAAGTTAAGTTGATGTTACAGGTTTTTATTCATACTCTCATCTTTCTTTTATAGCTGTACTCATCCAAAGAGTGGTGTCAGTTCCTGATGGGTGTGTGGGTGTGGCTGCGATCGGTCAATGTCTGGTCAACACTCTTCCTCAGTGCGTTCCACCTCCAGACTTTGAGGCGCGTGGCTCCCACTATCGGGAATGTTCATGGGCCCCGGGGTGCTCCTAAGCTACTGCTGAGTCTTGGCTTCATCTGGCTTCTCAACTTTATCTACTCCATTCCTGCTTATGTATTTTCCACTAATGGGGGTGTGAACACCACAGAGGTGATTCCAGTGGTTTTGCATGTTTCAGTCCATTGAACTAGCAATAGCACAGTATAAAACATCCTTTTTTCAAGTATATTTCATTTCAGTTCAGACAGATTAGCAGTAAAATGTAAACGAGTGTCAAAAGTAGAACTAAATTTTCTGAAGAAAGTGTATGTTTAGCTAAATTGCTGGTGTATGTTCCTCTCTCTTTCCGCCATGTTCTGCCTTCACTCCTTTCTTCCTCATCTCAGACTCTGATGCTGGTGAGCAGCACAACACGCCCCCTGCTGGGCTGTGTGTGGAACTTTCCCAGCAGCCACAGTGGCCTGGCCTATGCCACCACATCTATGGTGATCCATGAGTCAGTCCCCATAATCTTGATGGCTTTTACCAACCTGGGCTCCCTTTACACACTCTACACCCATGGCAGCACGCGCAGTACGGTGCAAGATGCACCTGTCATAAAACGGGTGCCAGCTGAGCGACGAGCAGCCAAGGTGAGGAAGAAGAGGGTGACTAGAAGCCATGTAAATAAGTTGTAAATGAGTAAATTAAAATGTACAGCAGACCTGAGATTTTATTAATAGAACAGACAAACATAGCCAATATGGAAATTGTTTTAAGAACAGTTTTATTGGACTCAAGGTGACCGTATTTGATCATATCTTATCATATGTTTTTGTGACCTGATTCTTTGTCCTGTGTGTGTGATTTTCAGGTGATTCTTGGTCTCATAATGCTCTTCATTGCATCCTGGGGAACCAGCATTATCTCTGTCAACTATTACAACTACAACCGTGGCGGAGCGGCTGAGTTTCTTCTGGTTATTGCTCGTTTTGCTAACATTATCTTCATCGCCATGTCACCTGTTGTTCTGGCAGTCGGCCACAGGCGGCTGCGTTCTTTCGTCAAGTCTCTGCTCTCTCACTGACAGAGCTCTTGGCCGACAGTTCACTCTGCTGAAGCCATGGAGGTGCATCTCACACAATTCTGCTAACCATAAACTATTCCTAGCCTCATCTTCTCCAAGTAGTTAAAGGTGGTTTGTGGGCACAGGTGTGAATATACTGTATGTTTTTCTCTGTAAACCTCCACATATGTGTGCGTTAATGGAGATGGACTCAATGGAAAGGAAAGTCATTCAGGTTACAAGGATTTGTGCTACATGACCCAGTGAATTCAATTCTTTATGTAAATGGTGCTGATAGTTGGTGTGATAATTTACAATCCAAACAAATGGTCCAAATAAAAATGAAAATCTACCAAAACTGTCAAAACCAATTCATTTAGATTGTATTGCAACATTTTCTATTAGTTTGCCAGCCAATATCTGGGTCTAACATTTTTTTGTATATGTTCAGTGTAACGTTATTTGTTACCTCAATGGCTTCGGACTAAGCATTTCATATTTTGACCATCTATTTGTAAAAGCACAGAATAATATTTTAAGTACATCTCAAAGAAATAAATTATGGCTCAGAAATCCCTGGCACACAATTTGAAATATCTTGGTTTCTGGATCTGTTTGTAGATCCTTATAAGAGATTTTAGTGATAAAAAAGGGGGAAAGCCGTAAGAAAACATAAAGGACAACTTATGATAAATTTATAGTATTAGACCTACAATAATAGCAAACTTTCAAGGATCACTTATTGAGTTACGTCACCCAAGTTACTTCTCATTTTCCGTATGTGCTAAATTTTTGGGGAACAGTTTTACTTTTTGCTATTAGAGATTGGAGATTGACCGGACTGGGTTTGAGCTATTAGAAAGTTGTGTTGGAAGTGTGTGAAGCCTTTAACAAAAATACCCTTGAATTGACGGCACAAACAACATGTACAAGTGAGATAATCAAAACTCAAAGTATTATTAGAATACATCTCAGCTAAAATGAAACAACAAAGAAGCAATAATGTGTTGTGTCTCAATTTGACTTCCATTAAATGGCTGCTTGTAATGACAAATCTCAAAATAATCTAAAATAATACCTGACAACAGTTCTGTCCAGACAGTAAGGGGGAGGATTCAAACAGATAATGCATCAGTGCTTATCTGGGTATACATTTTTTTGTACTTTTCAGTGTTTAAATGAATATCATGCAGTCACACTTTGCATCATTTGCTTGCGTTACCTTTCTCCTCTACTTTTATGACTTTCCTCTCTTGTTGAACAACAGAAATGGTTTGTTCTTCCTTTTTTCCTTTAGTCTTTGGGGATTTACTCCCCTGATCAGTGTCCTCACTAGCACATTTAAGATCTTTAGAACACCCCAGTATCATGTTCGTGATTCTCCTCCTCAGCTTGCCATGTCCTAGGGCCACCACCATTGGACTGAATCCTACAAACAGAGAGGCAGAAAAATGGGCCACGGTCAGCAGCCCTTCAGCATGGTGTCCCCCATCGTGGTTGTAGTACGTCACTGCAGCGACCTGTAGCGCCCAGCAGACCACGAACAGCGACACCAGCGACATGATGACATTAGCTGCCTTGCGTTCAGTGGACACATGTTTGTCCAGCTCTCCATGAGTTCCTCCTGACTCTCCCCCTGAAGTGACAGCTCTGATGTGCTTGGCCAGAGCATGAAGTGTGGCCAGATTAGTGAAAACCATCAGCACCAGCGGCAGCACCTCATTAAGTGCCAGTGAAGTGGAGGCAAAAGCTGAGCCCTGCTGTTCAGAGGGGAATTCCCAGATGCAGCCCAGCAGAGGCCTGGTGGTGCAGCTGATCACCATCAGCTCCACAGTGGCATTGCCATGAACATGGGTGCTATACACCAGAGCTGGAATAGAGAAGGCCAGGTTAGCTCCCCACACCAGCGCCAGAATGATCCATACCCGCCGCCTTTCCCTCTGCTGTGCGAGAGGTCCAAAGGCCACATGCTGTCGCTTCAGGGTTGTGCAGTGGAAGACACTAAGTGCTAGAGTCACCCAACAGCCCACAGCTCGCCACCACACCCAGAGCAGCATGAAGACTCGACACCAGCCCGGAGACAGAGACACATTCAAGCCCAGGTCTGACACAAAGATGGGCACGGTGCGGAAAAGTGAGGTCAGCAAGTTGGCCAGTGACAGGTGCACCAAAATAGTGTCAGAAGGAGGAAGCCTCCGAGCTGGACTCTCACTGGCTGACTGAAACACCTGAGAGTAAAAGCAAGACAGACTGAGAACAATGCTACCAAAAACACTGAGCCCACAACTACAAATATAATATTCCATATCATCTCACCACATGGATGACCAAGATGTTTCCCAGTATGCCAGAAAATACCAAGAGCCCAAACAAAATAGCGTCTACAGTGAGGACTTCTGACATGGCATCATCCTCTGCATGGCGACATAGTTTGCTTTTTCTTTTTGTACAGCATGTGTAAGAGAGTAGAGCGAAACATCAAGGCTTCATTTATACAACCGCTGCTGCTGATATTCCTCGTGATATTTTATATATGCACACACAGACAAACAAATAGGTTCATCAGACAGAAGGTTTCATCTTTGCTGACCAGGTTCAAGGTCGATTTAGTTCAATATGCTGATGTGTTCACTGTATATGCAAAGGCTGGCATTTTCCACATTAGCTTTCTGCATCGCCGACCAACTATAAATGAAACGTCTCATCAACAGGTGTTCATTGCTGTTATTTGTTCTGTTCAAGAGTCTGTTCACATTAAATAAATATAAATAAAATAATTCATACGTTACTTAAGTCTGCTACGGAAATGCATGTTGTGATGGACCAGTAATCCATCCAGGGTGTTTCCCCTGTTGGCTCATTTATTTTTCAGTTCATCTTGTTAACGTCCCATGACTATCTTGGCTAAATAAGAATGTGTGGTGTCAGACAATCATATGTGCCAAAAACTACTGATCACACAGATTTAAGCAATTATCCAACGTGACCTTTTAGGAACAGGTGGTGCTGAGCCAGTCCCACTGATGCAGCATTTTTTTCTCTTATTAGTCAGCTATTCATACTCTCCCCTGATATTAATTGTTTGCTGGGTTGCCAAGTTTCTCCCTTGGGATGAGGCATTGTTCATAATTGTTAAGAATAATCTCACATAAGCACTACTTAATTAAATGTAATGTCAATGATGCATCTTAATCATAAATCAATATTAGATTTATTCTTATTGTGTTTGGTATTATTTATTATCTGTAGATCTTCCTTCATTTTTAAGAACCCATGGACAAAATGAAAGCAACACTTGTACAGCTACATAATGCAATCTGATACAAAAACCCTGCATTTATTACTGCCTTGCAGCATTTGATTTTGTTAAGACTGTGTCAGAGAGGTCTTAGTACAACTGAGCTTTAACTTTTGAGGGTGTATTTAGCATTTTGGCAATATCCTGTACTGTTTAAGTATTTCTGTCATTGCTATCAGAGGGGTGGACAATATGATGAAGACCTTACAACATAATTCACCATTTAGCACATTCAAAAAATACCATAAAGTTGAACATCTAAACTCTGACACAGTCTCAACAAAATGCAAACACAAGCTTCACAAAGGTATAACTGCAGGGATTGATGTAACTGCATTATGCTGTAGTCATTCCCTTCAACATAAACTACTTTTTTACTGAAGTGAAGTTAAACCAGCAAAGAAATCAGTAGCAACCACTTTCTGTTTTGCAATATAGTTAATCCCCCTGTTGTGGTGGATAACTGCAGAATAAAGGGTTTGAAATTGTATTTTATTTTTGTCTTGTCAATTTCTCCAAAGGTATGTGCAGAAACACGCAGATAAGACAATTCATATTTCAGATATGCAAACTGTTTGTAAATACAGGTTTTCCAATACATGTCTTGCTTTAGTGCCAACACTCTGTACGGTATTTCTGCCTGCAAGGCAGTCGTTGAAGGGCACCAAGACATAAGTTTACAGAGAGCATGTGTAGTCAAGCAAGTCATCCTTATCACAAAACTGACCAGGTTTTAGCATTTAAACATATGCATACATTTATAGGTAATATTGAGTCAGTATCATTGCATGAATGTTGAATTAATTTCCAAAACAATGAGCATAACTGATAATTCAACACAAAATATTAATGTTAATTTTTAATATACATTTTTACCTGATAGTCTATCTAAGCAACATTATTTCAAACACTTCTGGCTCTCTGGGACCAATAAAATAATACAGGATTAGGAAAAGGTGTCAGATTGTTTTAGGGAAACAGTTTTGGATGTTGCTGTAGGTGTTATTTGCACTGATGGGCCTAAGAGCAGCACTGATCTGATGCGTACTCCGCCTGGATGTGAGAGACGTGCAGGTGAGCAGCACAGGTGTTTAAACCCTCCATCCATCGGTGTTGTCAGGACTCTGATTGTTGTCTCTGTTACTGACAGACGCCTGAAGCACTGTGTGGGATGATGACTCACAGACCGACTGTTTATAACTACAAATATTTTGTGCACGCACCCACGCTCCCAAGCACTCCGCGGCGCGCGCGCCTCCACGTGCACTCTCACACAGCGGGCATCAAAGCCTTTACGTCAAGCCAGGCAGGAAGAAGAAAGCAAATCTGATGGCACGATAGCCGGATCCTCTCATCCCACCGAAACAAGTAAGTGGTTTTCATAAATGCCTGTGAGTCGGTAGCTACACTGAGGTGACTTGATCACCATTTATCCTTTACTAACATCACCCTGCAAGCTTATCCTATGCAAGGTCATACTCGGATCTCTTACTGTCTGAATGGACGCATGATTAAATGTTATTTATTTCTGTCGTAGATGCAAACCCGCTTCTCTCGCCCATGGACGTACAATCCAGTTTTACACGGATTTCGTCGAGTGCACTGAAGCTGAGCTGATCCTATGGCAGACATCAGCCCGCCCTGTACCGTCGCCAAACTGATCCACTGTGAGAGAAAATAATTTGATGAGAGTGAGTGAGATGAAAAGCCAACAACGACCATCATTGCTCGCCTTATCGGCGCTCCTGCTCTGCACATTACACCAGACAGCTGGGTCCAGCAGATCTCAACGCAGCAGCTCAACATCATCAAGATTATCATCACCAACAACAACCGCATCAGAGGTGAGAGGCAGGAATAATGTGGGGACACTCCAAAACTGGCTAAAAGAGAATAACATCAGCTCTAACTATGGCAATCACAGCCACAAAAGTAGGCCATCGCCAAAGCTTGAAGAGGTAACAGGCCATGTGAAAAGCTTCTCTTTCAACACCAGCAGAGGCAATATTACTACTGTGATATCTGAAAGGTCTGGCAGGGCACCAAGCTGGAGCCCAGAGGAAGGGGTGTCACCACTGTGTGCCTACCGAGTGATTGAGGGCGGCATTGGGGGGCAGCTGTGTTTTCGAGACACACTGTTTGGGTACAAGTGTCACAAGGGAGACTGCAGGACAGTGGTGTCTTTCAGGAATCTGGTGGCAAATATTCTTATCAATGGCAGCGTACTGTTACAGTGGACCCATGAGGGAGAATCCACGACGACTGGCCGAGGTATAAAGACAGAAGAGACTGCAGCTGGTCAGAAGAGCAGTGGGGATCCTGGGACAAATTTAACAAGAGAGGAAACACAACGATCAAACACTGTTTTAAGTGGCCGACGCCACAGACGTGGAGGCTATGAGTTAAGCTGCTGGTGGAATGGAAGCTATACTCAGTTTGAGTGTGCTGGTGTCCATCTTGGATCTGGCTGCAGGGACTTTCTCCTGACCGAGCTGCATGAGAACATCCCGTACCGACTCTGCCTGCGTTCCCTGCCCCGCTCTGATCCAGCTCAGAGAGCAGACCACCAGGACTGTGTAGAGTTTACCCTGCCGCCATCTGGGATGCAGGACATTGTGATTGCCATGACAACGGTGGGGGGAGCTATTTGTGTGATGCTGGTCATCATTTGCTTGCTGGTGGCATATATCACAGAAAACATAATGAGCCCCACAACACAACACACATACTCCTATCGCACTCACTCGCGTCACTGATGCACTGCTAAATAAATAAAATGTCCTACATTTAACATAGTCACTCATTGTCTGAAATAATTATTTTTCAATCAGCCACATAATATGATATATACATCCTGTTATGACTGAATTGAAGCACAATCTACTATGGCTCTGCAAATAACATGCCTTGTCAACCTCTGCGAGGATGCACTGAACCAAAAGTACTGATAACCTACGTTTAGTAAATACAGTAGTTTACTGTGTTTTGTTTTTGTTCAAGGTTGTCTGTGAATAAGTCTGTCAATGTGTGTGCTGGCAGCATTTACACAGCAATACAATTAATGAAATGGCTTTGAGTACATCAGAAAGAGCAGTTTTGCTAAATGTGCACCCTGTGAAAGAGTCCTGACAGGTCCTGTCCTTGTTGGGTCACAGACGTAACTGAATCACATTTTTCCACTTGACCAAATCGTCTCACCATCTTGTTTTGCTTTTAGCTCTGCATACAGTATGTACTTGTACCATTTTGTGAAGGGCAATACAATCTGGTGTACAATCTCCAAATACTGTGCCAAAGTTAGGACGAGTTAAAATGCCTTCATGTCCAGCTGTCAGTGAATAAAAAACCATGAGGTCATTTCTAATACATTGCAGCTGTTGTTATTTTTCTCCTTGTGTGTTTGAGTGTGTGTGGATGTGATAGCTTTCACATCCCAGGCCGAGCTACAAGAATCAGAACAACAGGAATTAAAAATGTTTATATAAACGCAAACCCTTACAGGGCAATCACAAAACAGAAAAGGGGGATTAATCCCATTATTAGCTTGTTTTGTTTTATATGAATAATGCCTTAACGGATAGTTAAACTGGAAATAAATGTATCGTAAAATATGATCAGAGTGGGAATGGGTGATATGATCTATCACTGTACATGTAATATAGTTATATCGCAATACATATAGTGATTTTCTGAAAAGACCAAAAATAATCACACAGAAATGTCCATTTTTGGCCGACCCCGTAAATTAAATACGGAGAAAATCAAAGTAGTCTATCACATTGATCCATGAATCATATCAAAATCCCATTTTGCCATAGAGTGTATTCATTGATTTGCAGCATTGCCTAAAATGGCTAAATACATCCAGAGATAATAAAGCGAGCATTAGACCAATATAACACTGTCGCAAAATTTCTGATGTTGTCTGAGGCTGTGTTTTATCTCTGGGTAAACACATAAATATTGATACTGAACGAGTAAAGGGAAAAATTATGCCATGAAATGTGGCATAAAGGTTTGCACTATGTATTTTTATGTAGTACTCCACTGTAAGAACTGCATCTACTTACATACTACTCCAGGGCCGGAAGCATTATGTTTTCGGGTTGCCCGTCGTTCTGTCCATCCATTTGCCCATCCATCCGTCCCATCCTCGTGAACGCGAAATCTCAAAATGCTGTAACTCAGGAAGGGGAGATTGGGAGATAATTCTAGTTCACTCAGGTATACTGGGAGTCACTCAGTTTGAAACACAAATTAGCCCCAATTTTTTATGTCCCACCACCATGCAGGATGTCATCTTCCTATGCTTCCTCCATGCCTACACCCCAGGTATGGAGTAGATAATCTGATTAGATTTTGGAGCACCTTTTATCAATTAGCATATTAAGGAGGTAACAAAGATTTCCCCAGAAATGCTGTAACTCATTAACACTTCAAGTTAACAAATTCAAACTGACAGCAGATATTTAATATGCAAAATCACACATTTTGGTGTAAAATTCTTCTAATAAGCTACTTGGCTCTAAAAAGGATGAAACAGATTTTTCTTGTGAACACGACCACTAAAGAACGATAGCCTACATAAGTACGAACTTCATCATACACCACAGGTACCCCATATGTACTAGATTATAAAATTAAATTGTGGTGTGTCTTGCTACATTCATTTGCATATTAATTGGGTATTTAAAAAAAAAAAAAAAAACTTCTGTTAGCATCCTTGATGAAAAACTGCTAGTACTATGAGCATATGTTTTATTTTGTCCTGGGGGTCATGGCGGTACATAAGGCAATCCAAGTGCATGTTAGAAAATACCCTGGGTCTTCTCGTAGCCACTGTTACTGTAGTACAAACTATTTCAAAGAAAGTCATATTTTTCACAGAATGTTTGTGTATAGTTTGGCTTGGCAAGTACGAAACCCCACCCTCACATGACATCACCGGATAAAGCCGTATTCAAGTCACAGGACTCCGCCATTTTAACTTCCTGCTTCTAAAGGAGACGAGCACGTCGCACAGTATTTGTTCTCGAACCGCGTTGTTGTTTAGCCTAACGTAGGGGTTTGTCTTGTTATTTTTTTCTTACAGGAATCAAACTAACTACTTTTGTTAGTTTCTGACAGCTTGTATCGGGTAGTTTCAGCCGAAGAGTCGCAATGCCGAGCCACCCGCTGCGTGTAGCGGTTGTGTGCTCGAGCAACCAGAACCGCAGTATGGAAGCGCACAATATCCTCAGGTAAAGACGAGCTGCCGGGAAGAGGAGAGACGAGAAACGACCGTCAAGTGAACGAAATCTGTGCGGAATCGGGACATTTTCTGAGCGATCTTAAGCCATACCGACACGGTTACAGATAGTTCGTCGGGCCTCAGCTGCGTTTAACAATGGATTCGCTCCTCCACAACTACACCGGGGCCACAGCGCACTGTTAACGCTGCTTTTCACTAGGGTTCAGGTTTACTGTTGCCTAAAGTAAACGTCAACACAGATTGTTGTCAAAAAGATTTCAGGGTTTTCAAAATTACCGGCCCAAGTTGTTAGGTAGTTGTCTTTTTTTCCCCCCACATGTTGACAAGAGCGCCCCCCTGTAGGGAAAAATCCGGAAGGGAGGAACTGCAACTTCACAATACAGTGGGGCTTGTCATTTCTGATCAGTCCCCTCATTCCCATTTAGAAAATTTTGCTTGACTTATTAATTTTTAAACAAAGGTGTGTGCTGGTTGTACAGCCTTACAGTGCACACTTGGTCTCATTTCCACATAGTTGTTAAGTTCTCATTGGACATTTGCTGAACAACAGGACCTGACTGGAAACAAAAACCAGGAGTCACAATTACTGGTAGTGTGACTCACTAAGATAAAATGATCTACAGACCAAGATAGCTTGTTGGTGACATATTGTCACCCATGTGATCGTCTGAAATAAAAAAAAATCCCCCCTATAGGGTTTTGTCTGATTCTGATACAGCACGGGAGAGAGGTGGCAATGACAGACAGTGATGTCTTAATTCAACCTGTGACGCACAACAGCCACTGTTTTGCTTACTCATTATGCTTAGGTCTGAGGAGACACCTGAACATGCAGATTGTGTAGGATACACTGCAGGCATGGAAAGATGCTGATTAATGCGTTCTGCTTGTATGTAATATTTTCTTGTATCTAATGTTGATTCCAGAAATGTTTATGTAATTTACTCTGTTGTCTTTTCCTCTTTGCAGCAAACGTGGATTTGATGTGCGTTCATTTGGGACAGGGTCTCATGTCAAGCTACCCGGTCCTGCCCCGGATAAGCCAAATGTGTATGACTTCAAAACAACATATGAACAGATGTACAACGACTTGGTCCGCAAGGACAAGGAACTGTATCCCCTTCTCACTCACTTTTTCCTTACTCACTCTCTCTCACACACACACACACACACACACACACACACAGATACACTAGAAGCCAGAAAAGTGAACATGGCCTATGTACATGTATCTTGTTTAGGTATTAATCATTGTGGGGGTTCACGCACTGTGATGGCGTTGGAGCGACTCAGCAGAACGGAGACCACTGATGGGTAAATCACATGTTGGGATTTTAAAATGGGTGACGGATATACAGTACGCTTTAAGAAACTGAAATACAGGAGAAGCACGTTGCAGTACAACAGCTGTGCAGCAGTAAGTGCAATTTGGTGAAGATCATAAAGTTTTTGCTGAGACCATCTGATTGAAATCTATAGTCTCTTCTAACACCTTAGCTTATATTGTGTGTATTTGCAAGGGTCTTCTTGTCACCACTGTTCCTTTTATAATGCAGTTTTCCTATATTGTCAATATGTTGTAACTTCTCTCTTTGTCACAGTAGATACTTTTGCAATTTGCGTAACGCCAGAAAGTTAGACAGAACCTTTTTTTCTTGTCTTCACTTTGATCTTGCTCACTTGTTTGTTTTTTGGGGGTTTTTTTTGTATTAATTGCACTAAATTAGGCACTGGTGCTTTGTTTAAGATATTATTGACTATAGTGCCCCGAGGTAAGTTAAAGCTTATCAATTACAATCACCTGCGTCACCTGAGCACTCAAACATGGACCATGTTACAAAAAGCCTGTAATGTGCTTGAGGAGTACAAATTGCAGTAGTGTGTGATTTCTGCTGCACTTTATTTGAACATGCATAAGCTGTCTGGTTTGGTCTTCACCGACACCATTCAAAATATTAATGCCAGCGGTTATACCTGCCCCATTAGTTGTTCATTTTGAGTGCTTCTTTTATTACTGCATTATCTCAGATTTTCCTATTAGGTAATTGGTTTGTTTACTAAAATACCAGGCTAAATGTGGAGATGTCCAGGACAAAACTACTTCACCAGATTTTTACTTACTATTGTGCTATTTTTATTAATATTATTGTATTGCAGGTGTAAATGTTGCTTACCTACTATACTATGTTGCAAAATTGTAAACTAGCTGTTACACACTGCATTATGAATAGAGGGTGTACATAAAACTGTAGTGTTCTTGCAACTGTGCATGGATTTCTTACAAATATAGCCACAGTTATAGACAATCCAGCATAGTGGTTGGTCTTTGTTCCTTTTTTTTTTTTTTTTTTTGGGGGGGGGGGGGGTATTTGGCAATGCCAAGCAAGGTGGCCATGGAGGGAACAATGCAGTACAGACACACTGAGTATCTTTGTTGTAAGTCAGCCTAGCAGTATCAGAACAGTTTGATAACATTAATATCAAAACTTGGTTGAATGGATTAATTGCAGTCAGTAAAAGTTTCACATTTTACTGACATTGCACTGAAACGCCTTTCTTCTATCCACCTTGGTTTTTACAGCTGACCACTAACATAGTCTTTTCGTACCCCACTAGAGGGTGCTGCAGTTTGACTAATGCAAACACTGACACTATTCAAATGTGTATGTACTGCTCTTTGTGTCTATGATTTGACTGACGCATAACCCGACAGGTACAAGCAAAATATATAGTCCCATTCAGAAAAATGAATATCTGTCTTACTGGGTGCTGAAATCCTGTCTCTGATAGTGCGGTGAATGTGTTGTATTACCTTGAAATGTTTCTGTTGCACGAGCTGTGTTCCTTGACCTTCCCACTCTTCAGATACACACAGAACGGCATCCTGCACATGCTGGACCGCAACAAGCGCATCAAATCAAAGCCAGAGCGCTTTCAAAACTGCAAGGAGAAGTTTGACCTGGTCATCACCTGTGAAGAGAGAGTGTATGACCAAGTGCTGGAGGGTGAGGCTTCTTTATAAGAAATGTCTAGTCACTGAAGGAATAGAGTTGGTGACTGAGAGCCACTCATACTCACAAATATTGCACTAATACAATCTTTATGGGCATTTTTTTTTTATAGCTGTTTTCACCCCATTAGCCACAGCACTGAGTCATTGCATGGTTACAAACGCCCTCTTTTTGTGTGTAGTTCAAGGTTGTACTCCAACACTTCTGAGTGTATGGCACTTTCTCTCTTATCTGTTGTTGCTCCACAGATCTGAACTCAAGAGAGCAGGAGACTTTGCAGCCTGTACACGTCATCAATGTAGACATTCAGGACAACCATGAGGAAGCCACGCTGGGCGCCTTCCTTATCTGTGAGCTGTGTCAATGTGTGAGTGTCTGCTAGGGTTCTCAAATACTATTGCACAGTGGGAGCAAAGTAAAATGAAGTCACCACAGACTACTGTAGTTATTATATGACAGGCATGTTAAGGCACTGAGTGGTTAAATAACATTTTTAAGTAAATCTATATCTTCAGGTAATATACATTAAATTACTTTTGTGTAGATAATCTAAGTCATATATTTCTAAAAGAAGAGATTCTGTCATCACCTAATGAAAACGCCAATGAAATGTTGGTGTGTCTTTGTGTGTGAGCAGGCTGTGTTTAATGTGTGTCCTCCTCCACCCCTGCAGATCCAGCACACTGATGACATGGAGAATGAAATCGATGAGCTCCTACAAGAGTTTGAGGAGAAGAGCAACAGGCCTTTTCTTCACACTGTCTGCTTCTACTGATGCACAGAAAAATTGCAATAAACACAGACCCAGATCACAAGCAATCAGACAATAGAACACGGACACACACTACCTGCACCTCAATCATCTGTAACAAATACACACACACACACACACACACACACACACACACACACACACACACACACACACACACACACACACACACACACACATAGGTTTGGGTCAGGACCTAACAAGTGGCTGCTGTTGGACATATTGGTGATGATGGGTTTTTCCTCTATGCAGAGGACGGACTCGCTGCTCTCGCTCTGCCTTTATTCCTTCGGATCAAGGTCAGGCCAAGGTCCTCCCTCCATCCCAGTTCAGTGAAATCACTCAGCCATGTCTCCTCAGGGAGAGCCATAACACCCACACCCCAGTCAAACAACTGCTTTACAAGTTCCTCTGATTTTTGTTGAGTACAGCATATTGATGCAGATTTTTTTTTTCTCTAGATGATATATAATTGTAATTCATTTTCAGCATTCAGCATATATGTCAGATTTTTATTTCTGACCTAAGACAGTGTAAATGTCTTTCTTGGGGTCAGATAGGGAAGATAATTAATTGAATTGAATGCGTGTTTTGTGCGACCATGTGTTGTAGATTAGTTAGGAATAAGTTAAAGTGGGTGGGCTAATAATAAATAACCAAACCTAGACCTCTCTGAGGCTCTCCTCCAATGTGTTTCCAATATAATGTGTTGATTCATATTTAAACTCGGATATGCTATCTTTCAGGGCATAGTATTTTTTTTCCTTTGTAAATGTCAAAGAATTGAAGCATTGTAATTATCTGCAAATTGCGAGCTCAGCTCAGAGTGCCTGAATTTTCTGTATGTACATATGAATCCACTAAAGAGAGAAACATCTCTAAGAAACATGCTGTGACTCTTTATTTGCTTTGTGATATGTGGTTTATGTTCGAGCAGTAATACACTTAAACATTAGTATGCTACTTGAAAATACTATAATACAGAAGTCAAAACAATCGCTCATCCGGTTTGATTTTGTTAATTGTTAGAGCTTTGTGTGAACAAGGGCAATAATTTCATTAATTTAAAATATTTTTAACAAATCAATAATGGGTTAAAGCAAAAATATATTTAAACCATAATCATCAGTTTGGCTTTGTTTGGACAGTAATCACTCCCTCTCCATCTTGTGGTTTACAGAAATTTCGTGTAAGTTATTGAGGTGTGCTGAATAAAGCCGACCTGGGTGAAGCATAAGTAAATGTGCATGGACTGACTATCTACCCATCTATCTGTCTATCTATCTAATCTTCATTTTAACAATAAAAACAAACGAAAAATTCAAAAGAAAACTGACGTTAGCTAACTTGGTACTGAGAGTAACCATGACAACTCATTTCATTCGTTTTAAGCATTGACTCATTAAACTACTTCTGACTTGGAAAGTAACAGTACCTTGTCAGCCATCACCGAGTTCACCCCAGCGGCGTCCAGCTCGATTGGGTTGAACACTGAGGGCAGGACCGAGTGGATGCACGGTTTGAACAGTTACCGGTAATATCCCCCTTGTCTTGCCTCGGAGTGCAATAATATGTAAGTTAACTTGATATGAAAACACCTCAATGCTAATGTTATGGTCTTCTGAAGTCGCGGTAATAACTAGTGCCACTTTAATGACAACGACAATTAGCGAATAAATCGATAGTAAGCCAGTTAATCAATATTTCAAAACTCGTTTTACCCCGACTTGTTTTGAATATGTGTCAATGCTGTGGTCTATCTCCGCGTACTCCAGTTATTATTTTGTTTCAGATCGTTACTATCCTAATGGACATGAACGCGCTTCTCGACCGCATTCACAACTTCATCATACCGTTAGTGCGAGGGAGTGACCACGTCTGTGCCTGCACCTGCGGAAGGTAAGATACAATTCAGCAGTAACCTTAGTAAATTTGATCTATCGTTTATATATTGTGTGTGACACTGTGTGTATTCCCAAAATTGTTTTGATGACTGTCGTTGCATTTCAAAAACCAGAGGTCACTCAGCGTTAATTATGAACCCTGGGTATTTATCTCCTGGATGTCAGCTCATCAGTTTTCTGTAAGATGCTCACTCTGTGTCAAAGTTGTGTGTGCAATCAATGCTCAGTTAAACCCCAGAGGGCATGCAGGCCAGCTGTAGGTGATTTCTCTGTCCTGCTATTTCAGATTGTGGCACATTGGTGGAGACCTTTATTTATAGATGCACCAACATATCAGCAAGGGTATTAGCCTATATATATAGCCTATATACTAGAAAATGTGTCAGATAAAAATAATACACTATTCCTCAAGCAAGGATATGTCTCTTAATTTATGAAAAGTTCACATTTTGGAAATTTTAGTTTACACCAAACAACCATAGAAATATTCATGTCCTTATCATTTTTCAGCATCATGGGTTAATTTTTCTGTGTACAAATCTCCCAATGGCTACTGCTCTGTCTGCTGCAGGCATCAAGCCTATCATGTCATTCCATATAATGGGGCAGAGGAGATGGTGGATTCCAGAGAAAATGACTTCGTAAGTGACATCATGACCCGGCAGGAGATGGACGTGATAAGTGGACTGCTGTTGGGCCTCTGCATCGGCTGGTTCTTGTTGTGGCTGGATGGTGTTTGGCACTCGGGGCTCATATACTGGAGGGCAAACCGAATGAACGGTGAGTAATAAGCCAGCTGAAACTGAACTAACATAGAGGAAAAGCTTCGGGGTTCCTGAGGAATATTTAAATATATTTAAGCAGTGCTTTCTTTAAAGTGACAATTTTCATCCTGATGTCACAGCAAATTCATACACAACCATACCTCCCACAACTTAAATAAAACAGAAGTAAATACATTTGTAGGAAATGCACCAAAATTAGAACCACTTTGGGAAACATGTTGAATTGTCTCAGGTATTACAAACTATTCTGTCCTCAAAGAAACACTGGGGAGGAAATTGGTGGACAGGGTGCAAACAAATTACCTTCTTAAATGCCCTCTATTTGCTCCCTCTCACCTCTTCTTGTGTTAATTGCTCTGAGTAATTAAATGGACCACTCCCCTTACACTTCATCCAGCAGCAAACACACTGTAAATATACAGGAAACCCTAAAACGCAGACTTGGCTGTACATGAGGAGTCTTAACTACATCCATGTATTTCCTTCTCATGCCATCAAAATTATATGTTTTCTTTTAAAAATGCAATCCCCTCTTTACCTTTCTGATTTTTCACTTCCTTTAATTTCCAGGCAGGTACTTCCAAAACACAAAGGACTCCAGGGGGAATATAGTGCACCATGATGTTAATGACACTTAAAACATAAAATGTGTATTAAATTCAACAGTTGCTGTGTGCTGTTTTCTGTTGAATAAGCAAATGCCTTGCAGTAATGATTTAGTTTTTAAAGTATTCATGGAAGCATGTGCCTTTATTAAATAGTTTATAGTAGAGACCTGATAGAAAATTAAGGGAGACATGAGAAGTGAAGTGAGACATGCAACAAAGGTCTCCAGCCAGGGAGGTTACAATTTTATGGTCAGTATCTAAAACCACCAGGCAAAGTCACCACTTATTAATCTATCATATAGGAACAGTTACAGGGTTCCTGTGTGATGACCTATGACTGCCCACCCACTTACTGTATAAGGAATTAAAAGATCAAAAAATTGGGGTCAGTCTACTAAGAGAGCCTTAAAATTATTTCTGAACGAGGTGACCTTGTTGCAGTGTTGTGAGCACACTTTTTAATTCATGAAAAAAACTTTCACTTATATATCATACTTATGTTAACACATACGTACATCTTAGTACACGGAGGCATCCTTTAATGTCTGACAGGGAGTTTTATCATGAAGCCTATTCCAAACCAAGGGCAGTTCCATGCCCTTGACTTTGCAGACGCAGACGCAGCTCCCTCAATCCATTAGCTATTAGTGTGAAATATTGAAATTCCTGCATGCACCTCTGCTGTTAGGGTAAAGCAACACAAAACATGTCTGCCTTGCAAAACAACATATACTGCTTGACAACATCATTGATAAGACTGCAATCTCTAAATACTACATCAGCATTTTAAAAAGGGCCTGGTAGGGCTAGACCAACAGATACCAAACCACTGACTGTTGATTTGACAATGTAGCTTTCTGAGAGAAATTTTAACTTCAATTTGTACCACAAGCTACATTGTTGATTGTGTATTTCCATGTAACAACTGTACCCCAACCAGTTTCCAAGAACCATCAGAACCTTTAGTGTTTATAAAAACACAGACCCATTTAATCATTTCAACAGAGACGCTCCACTGTGCACAACATTTATATACTGTTATTACAGACACAGAATCTGATTCCCATGTAAAGTACACTTTTACAATGTATACATTATATATTAGAATGAAAGTCTCCGGCATTGTTTTGTTAATGGATTATCTCCCCCAACCATGTGAACTCATCTTCTGTCATAAAAGACAGTCCAACAGGTTTATGGACATTAACTGACAGAATAGTTAAAGGGGCAGGACACTAATCTTTCAAATCCGGCACCCTGCTGGAAAAAAATCTTGGATTCAAACTGGAGTTCCATCCTTTGGAGGAGAGGATCCAGTCTTGTCTTCCTTTTCCACCTTGCTCTCACTGTCAGTGGAGGTAGCAGGCGGGGCTAAACTCTCCGCTGCTGTTGTAGCTTCTGCTTTGACAGCATCTTCACAGTCCTGCCCAACGGCATTTTTGCCCTCTGCCGATTGGTCGATATCAGAAGGAGGTGGTATATTGTCACCTTCTTGCTTTGCATTTACCTCAAGGACTGGAGCGATCACCTCCTGAGCCTCGGGTGCTTCACTGAGAGGCAGATTGAAGCCCATTTTGCCTCCACTGCCTGCCACCCCAGCTGCAGGAGGGGTAAGGGTCTGAGCCTCCTCATCTCCACGCAGCCAGTCCATCTTCTGAAGGTGTTGCTTGACAGCGTCGTCAACCCGAGCGTCAATCATAGCCTCTGTCAGGACACCATCTTCAGAGGAATATGCTGCTGCCTATGAGAACATGAAGCACAACACGTGTTTTACATCTTTTTTTTTGTTTACTAAATGAAATGAAAATCTTATATAGTAACAGCTTCACAATGACTTCAGGGAACATACCTGCCAGGCCACACCCAGCTTGGAGATCTCTCTTCCCGACATGCCCTCTGTCCTCTTTGCTATCTCAGAGCACTTTTTACCGTAGTCAAACTGTGCCAGCTTCATCCTCCTGCAGAACAGAAACACAAAGATGATAGTGCGATGAGTTCCCACTTTGCTAGCCTGGATGCAATTTCTTTCAGATCTTGTTGTGTTTTTGCAGCTGACTTGAATGACTCCTGGCCGGTGTGTGTCACCCCACCCACCCATCAGCCTCCATCACACATCTGAGCTCACATCTGTAATTAATGCCTCAGCATGGCTGGCCAACCTTCACATGCTCAGCAGGCTATTTCTTGGCCTTCAGCTCAAAAAGGCCCTGAATCTAAACTAACCCTCATTCTGGCATTTAAGTGAAGGAATATAAAACAACACCTTAAAATTACTTTGCATCTACACGTGTGAGTGTGTACACATGGTCGACTGAACCCAATAACTTCTTTCAGTATGCATCGCAAAGCTGTGTTATAGTGTTGGGATTTTACTCACTGCCTCCCTCCAGTGGCGGGCTCCAGCACATATCTGTCAAAGTACAACCGCACCAGCCTCTCCCTCTCCTCAGGACCCGGCAGAGCAAAATTCACTATTTCATCTATACGGTCGTTTATGGCCCAGTCAAACTGCTCTGGTTGGTTACTGGCCAACACCAGCATGAATCTGCAGGAAAAAAAAAAAAAAAAAAAACAGAAATTAAATAGCTTAGAGATGTGATGGAAAGAGTATGAAACAGTTAAGGTTTAGGGTCAAAGCCCCAGTGTGGCACCGAATGTAAATAAATGTTTACTTGTTGCTCTGTTCTCCAGTGCGATACAAGAACGCATTCAAAGTGGCTCTGAGGTCTTCACTGATCTTCTCCTACAAATGTAAAAATGAAGAATACACATTATGTAGTTCAAGATAAATGAAGGGATATATAATTATAAAAGCAATAAACTTCCAAGGCTTCTGTGTCCGGAAATACATGGACACTTACAGTGGATCTCTTGCGAAGGAAGGCATCAGCTTCATCAACAAAGAGCAGCAGCCTGTAACAGAATAAAAACACATTAGATCTTCACTGTCTTATCTTCAGATTATTTGTTTGTACATCATCAATTTCTTCACTTAATATAGTAACATACCCTCGTCGACTTGTGCCGGCCCAGTCAAAAACTTTATGCATGGCGGTCACACCATCACGACCCATGGGTGCTACATCACCACCGGTCATAATTGCATAGTCCATGCCAGAATGCATTGCCAGCTTCTACTCAGCACAAAGAGAGAAGTGTCACAATTAGATAAAGCATCACTGTCCATCTACCGTATGTAACATTGAACATCACTCAGTCCTCAGGTGTACCTTGGCAAACAGTGTTTTGCCCGTGCCTGGTGGGCCGTACATTAGGATGTTCCTGTAGAGGCCGTTATTCTGTCTTGTGTTTCTTGTTGCTATGGCGATGTCACGCACACGTTCTTCAAGGGAAGGCTAAGAAAAAACAAAAAAGTATTTATTTCAACCGGTTACAAAACTTTAATAAATGCAAATTCGTTTCACCTTCTGTGAAGACTTTGAGGTCCACTTACGTTGAGCACGACTCCCTCAAGTGCATCCTGAGGTTTGCTCTTCAGTCGTTTAGCTGTCTAAATAGTTGAGGCGGGACAGGAAAAATTATAATTAACATATTATAATCTGCAGTTACAAAATATAAAAAAGGATCAATATCTAATCAGCTACCTTGACTGGATGCTTGATTGCCTCTCCCACAGTGAATCGGGACGTCTCTCGCACCAGCGACGGCTTCCCGAGCCTCGCCTCGATGTAACGTCCGGCCACCGCTGTTGCGTTTCGGGCTGAATAGACTCCCACAGCTAAAAGGGTCAGTCCTGCCACCTGGTGACATGATAAAACAGTACGACCTTATTCAAATATTGGTCACAGCAAAGATCAGGAAAACTTGTCCAATCAAACCAGTTTTTTTGTTTGCCCATACTAATGGTCCAAACATTTTAATGGAAATTTCTGGTTACTTGTCTATTGGATGTCCTCAATGGCATAATACCAGTAAATACAAATACACCATAGAAGGATTGTAATTGTATGATGGAATCACTACTTTTCTGCTTTAAACTAAATTTTTCTCATGGGCTTAATGTGTGAGAATGAATGATGGTCCAGTCATTTTACACACACTGTGTGTGTTGAACGGACTCTTCAGTCAGTGATAGACATCTCTGTATATCTGTAGTGTATTTATTTGCTGGTACTTATACACCTAACTAACCCTGACTGTATTTCAGAGAACTAATCTGGCTGCCCAGTCTGTCTTTCTATCAGTGAAATCCAGTCCTTACTATGTATTTTTTTAATATAATCTCTCACTAAACCAACTGTGGATGGAAACAGACGTCTCACCGTGGCTGTGACTTTGTCCCAGTCTGACACAAAGGCCCTGAATCCTTCTCCAAACACAGCACCTGCAGTCCTAAAAGCAAATACACATTAACCGTCAGTTGGACTTTACGGTGTTGTGACAGTACGCAACTGTCGAGTAACTGACCATTTCTGTGCCATATACTGGTGTGATGGTGACTGCATGCGTTTGAAATACTCCTTCAACATCTTCAGTTATGACTAGATATACGATTCAGGACACCGACAACCATCCATACACTACATCTAGTCATTCCCATCATAAACACTGTGGTGTGAAATCACAGATGAGACAGTGTGTCTTACTTTATGGACTCCAGGACAGTCTGTCTGTGTTCTGCAGCCTTCAGTCGGATTTGCTCGCGGATTATATCGGCGTTCTCTCTCTCCACACGGCCTCGAGCTTTAGATTCGGCCTCTATGCGCAGTAGCTCGTTTTTGTGCCTCAGCTCCATCTCATGCTCTATCGTGGCTATAAAAACCATGACACAACAAGCACATAAACCACCGCTCGTCAGCTACAAAAGCTTCCACATGATCCTGTCATCAGTGTATAACAGTGGGGACCTCCGCACCTTTCCTCATGGCCTCCTGTTTTTGTACAGACTCCTCCTGTTTGCGGAGGTTCTCCTCATTCAGGGCTTGCTGTTGGAACAAAAGAAAGAGAAACGATCGTCAGTTTGGTACTGCAGCTCCTTTTAAAGCATTTTAAACTAAATATGGAGGAGATAAACTCACCTGTTGCCTTAGTTGGTCCTCATACCGCTGCCGAGCCAGCTTATCTTGGTACTGAGCTCTCTGCAGAAATAATGAACTGTAACTAGTCTAGTTCACTGCCATGATATACTTCTAATTATTCTTTACTTCAAAATAATAAAAGAAAAAGAAACATCTTTTGTGTTCTTACCGCTTGATGCTGCTTGGTCTCCTCATTCAGAGTTTTCCTCCTCTCCTCAGCTTGGACTCGGATCTGGTCGCCTTTTAGCTGCTCAACTGCTGCTTCGTACTCCTGTTGCAGAGGCAAGCAAAGGATGCCAAAACTCTATTAAACCGAAGCAACACACTAGAGCACACTTAACATTCATTGTAAGCCCTTGGTTGACTGGGTCATGCCATGAAAGTCCTCAACAAGATACAGAGGTACACACATGGGGCTAGATCAAACTTATGTTTTATTACACTATACTTCAGTCTGAAACGTGGACACATCCTAGATAGAGCTTAAGTGGAAATGCAAATGAAAACTTTATTTATACGTGCCATTAGTCTGTATTTTTAAGTTACATTAATTATAAATATATGTATATGTATATATATATATATATATATACTTTGAACTTAATTCAAAAGCCATAACAGCAATCTTTAACTCTTGTGGTTAAAATCTGTTCAACTTCCATCTAGATGTAAAGTTAAAGCTCTAAATAAACTTTTGACCCTGTAAATAATGTGCAATATTTACTGTAGATTATTTCTCTGTTCTGTTTTCTCAGTGTTCAACTTTCACAACATAACAGCACACACAAAAATCACTACTGACAAACTCACTACTTTACTAAAATATAGATATGGGCAGTATCCACACTCAGTGTTGCTCCAAAACACAGGGTAAGAAAAAAAAAAAAAAGGATTATTCCAATCTTACTATCCAGCTGATGAAATGACACTAGCAAACTAACTCTAATCCTCTGGAAATCTACCACCGTCCTGCAGAAGATCAAGAGTGAAGTATGATTTAACTCTGAGTTCAGTGGAGGTGTAAAGTGTCTGCTTTACCTTTATTTTGCTCTGGTGCTCCATCTGAGTGCTCTGCTCCTGCATGCGAGCCAAATCCAGAGCTTCTTTGGCATGTCCTGGAAAGAGGTGACAAGGAAAGACAACAACACAAAGTTCAAAGACCTATCTTACACAAAAACGGGAGATTTTGATTCATCTTGGTGGCTCCGGCTCAGTGATCTGCAGTGTGCAGCCATGACTGATCTGACTCTGAATGCTGGGATCCTCTTCATCTTTTTAATGTGCCTTTCTGGTTTTCATTCCCCCTTTTAAAATGCAATGATAAACACACAACACGAAAGCAGCAATTGGTGAAAGCTGTGCATGCATGTGGCACAGGTGGAATTTGGGTGTTGCAAGCCAGAGTGATAGGTGATGACCTTTGAACCCAATCCGCTAGTTTGAATGAAATTGATGGCAGCAGAGGGTTGTTTTAATAAGCTACCGGAAAATTAACAAAGATTAAATCAAATATATATGTTCAGCTGCTGTCTTAGATCATGAGGGTGGGCCTCGTTGCATCACTGAAGCGACCATGAACCAGAGAGGGGCTGGGTGCCGGTGCATCAAGACTTTCGGGCTGCAGTAATGTTGTTAGAAACTGGATAAACCTCCACCGCGGTGGCCCCACTGAGCTCAACACTTACGGGACTTGTCGAGCTCCTTGGCCGCCTGAGCAGCCCGCTCCAGCCCAGTGGGATCAAAGTTGCTCCATTTGTCCTTGGGTTTATCTCCGCCGCCGCTGGAGCCTCCGGCCGGCGGCGGTGGTGGTGGAGGCTGAACCGGGAGGCCGGAAGGCGCTTCAGGCTGCCCCTTGTTAAGGCCGAACAGCCACGACATTTTACTGAGATTAAATAAAGCACAGTTTGGCCGGTTCCGTGTGAAGCGAGAGGAGGCTGCCGCAACAGATCTGTCACTGCACACGCGTGTCACGCCGCAATCTTCTGCGCAAGTGCATCAGAAAGTGCAGGTTTCTCTGAATAACAGCAACGACGATTGGCTGCTGACAAGTACGTCTTCTTCTCATTGGCTGTTCGAACAGCGGCGTTCACTAGAGGTCATTCACGTAGTCCCGCCCAGAGTTAATACGGTAGCCGCAGAAGGTCAAAATGTCTACAATGTATGTGAACTGAGATGGTTTTTTTCTGTGGTTGCATCAGGCCGATTCTGGTTTTGTAAGTCAGAGGGCATTGACTTTGATGTGATGTATTCTTAACACATCACTTTCTAGCAAGGAGCGATCACCGGGTTTCATCTGTGCAGGATCATCATAAATATACACTGGACTAGAGGACTGTGTAGACTTCAAACCTGGTTGTTCCTGCTTCTCAAATACCACTGGTTAATTGAATTTAAATAATGTTGTCCTTGTGTTTTATATTATGCACTATCATGGTTGTAAGAGAAGACCATTTGCAGGGAAATACGAATGACTAGTGGAGAATGAAATACCCCTCAAAACCACACCCTTAAAATAACTATCAATGAGGTGAATCAAGACAGGACAACAGAATATATATCAAAATGTTTAATGAACTAAACATTATGAGGGCAATCTTACCACAACAAAGGGTAAAATACATATAAAATAAAGTAATCACATGAAAAAAATTTGAGGTCATCCTTTTCTTCCCAACCCCAACTCACAATCAAACAGCATCAAGTCATAACTTAGCAAAGGTTGTCAGATATACACAGGGAGAGTTATGGAAATTGATAATCACATCCTCTATCATGGTGGAGGTAATTAGGAGAGATGTGGAGGAGCAGTTTTATAGGTAACGCTGCAGCAGGAAACCTCTGGCACACATGATAGATATGTTGGACTGAAGTCAGTGAATGTAGCAGGAGCAGGTCTGTCTGTTACTATGTTATTTAACGTCAGCTGCGAGCTTGGATTATGATGATGCTCCGGTGATGATTTAAGAGTGCAGAAGTGACGACAGTGTTACAGAGTGTCAGCACTGTCACACAGGCCACAATAAATAATAAGGGCTTTAATAGAGTTGGAAAAGTCACATAAATTTGAGTGAAAACTGAGTTTGAACAGCAAAATCACAGCATGGGTGCAGGGGAACGTAATGAGTAAGGAAACTTTCCTCCAAGGCCAGGGACCAAGGCACTTCAACAGTAATCATCTGTCCTGCTAAAGTGTCCTTGAGAGAAATATTACACCCCTTTCTACTTCAGGGACGTCGCTCTCTTGGCAACTTTTTCATTTTGAAGGACAAGGGATTAGTGACAAGGAAAAAACTTTCTCTACACGTAAGACCAGCATAGAGCTGACCAGTGTGGGACATGCAGGCAAGAGACACAGATCAGGCAGTGCATCACAAAAATGTTGACCCTCTGGTCAGCCAGTGAACTCCTCACCACGAACACCAAGCAACCCACGTTACATTTAGTGGTCAGACCCTGGTCTCAATGTGGGTGATTTATGCGAGTCATTAAGCATGGGGCAACCCAAGCACACTGATCAAGAGAAAAAAAAAACTAAATTAGCCATATATGATTATATGAAAAATACGACTGTAGAGCAAAGTGGTGAGTGTGCGTCTGGTCAACTCTTTCACGATCATCTCAACAATCCAAGGGCGCTGCTCTTTAAACCACACATCAACTGAAAATCCATAACTGTCGCAAGTCCTTTATTGTAGTAAAACAACACGGGAGAAGACACCAGGAGGCTCTTTGCCGTCACCCAGCGCTGCCCGGAAGCCTTCTTGTTTCCGAGCCTGTGCCAGTGTAGCAAGTGAGAGGAACGACCGAGGTTCTGTGATGGCCAGATCACTGATAACACGTCGGTTCAACTGAACACTGCTCTGTACGGAGGAAAAGAGGAAATGTTTTACATACAAATAGAGTGAAACCTCAAAGCTAAGAGAGCCTAGCAAGAACTGGTGCAATGCTGTAATATGTGACACAACCAACCTTTGTAAGGTTGTGCATAAGGGCAGGATACTTCATGCCATGCTCTCGTGATGCAGCTGCAATGCGTGTGATCCAGAGCTGAAGAAATCAGAACACAGGAAGTGATACATCATATTGATTCACTTGTTCAAGCGCAGATCAACAATTATATTGTATATAAAATGTTGTTTTGTTTTTTTTGCAAGAACTAATCAAACTCCCCATACTGTTCATAATTAATACACCCTTCTGCAAGCTGAAGTCGTTAAGTAGAAACAAACCAAATAGTTATTGGAAAGACAGCTGGTTTTTCTTTGGCCTCTAATCATCTTGTGACCCCTCAGATTTACCTTTGGGTCCCATTGAGGATCCCGAGTCCTGTGTTGGAAACCACTGAACTGCAGGGTTGTCCATTTAATGAGTGTCCTAACGTTCAAGGCCTAGAGGTAAACTACCATCTAATTGTGTTGTGTTATGTTTTGAAATGTGAATGTTCCATTCCTCGGAAAGCAGAATTAATACTGATTAATATTAGTTTGGCTAGAGGAGGGAAGGACACCGGTGCAAAACTTGAGTTTGAAGATTTCCAAAGACCAAGTTATTTCAACAAGATATTTCTCTGATATTCCACATAAAATGCAAACAACAAATCCCTGCGTCTTACCGTCCTCATGTTACGTTTCTTCAGCCTCCGGGCTTTGGTGGCGTAGACGAAAGCCCTCCTGACCGCCCGCACAGCCAGACTGTAGCAGCGGTTCCGCCTGCCTCTGAAGTGCTGGTGGAAGAACCGACAAGATGATGACTTGAACAAAACTAACGACGTGATGTTCTTAACATTAGATCAGGGTGATGATGCACCTTTCTGATTGGCCATCTCTGAACACCAACATACAGCAGAATGACTCACTGCATTTCTAGTTTTCTGAGGTGACAACAACACAGATTACAATATTTAGTCAGCGTGGAAGCAGGTTAGCTCACTCTGCTCCAGGAAATAGTCCGGGCCTTACCCGAGCATGTTTCAGAACTTCTTGAACTTTCCAGTATCTGTCGGGTCCACGGCTTCTGATCCAATTAGACAGCGTCAGGAATACCATGCTTGTTTTTCAGTCCACTTCACCACAGTCTCCTTCCTAACAGAACGAAAACACTGATTTGAGTGACCTTAACCCAGTTCCACCTGCAAGGAGACTGAGTTTATTCCACACGCCTCGCTTCGACTGACAGAGGAGCACTGGGTATGTTCGCTTTAAAACACCAGTTATCTGGTGTTAGTGTTTCCTAAGCTCCGGCCGGGTTTGCTGACGGGGACTTTTAGCAAAGCGGTCTGTGGTGTGGGTCAAAAATACGAATCCGTTCATTAACAGAGAGGACTACATGTATGGGTGAAAAACCACTAAACAAAGACAGAAAAGAAAAAAGCACAATTGAGTTTAAAAATCACGGTTCTCTTACGCGTTGCGTGGTTGCGAAGCCGGTAGACGTCTGTGAATGAAACACGCGCTCCCATGAGAGCAGTGACGCAGCCACGGTGGATGCTGGGATACAGGCGGTGGAGGTCAGAGAAACTCCAAGATGTCGGCTGTTAGTCTCGCGTCCTTGAGCCGCTGTGGTTTTTGGGCATTTCGCTCCCCCGCAGGACTGGTGGTATGTTTGAATACATTAGAATAAGTAAACAGTTTACATTGTATGTTACGGCCCGCTCTGGTATTGTCACGGAGTTCTGTGACTTTGTTCAGGGTAACCCATTCCGGTTTGACAACGGTGGGCTCCGTCTATGCTCTGACGTCTTGGTTACGTAGTCCTGCTTTAGCTGCTAACTAGCTACCGCTCACTTTCAACTGCAGTTCGATTGACTCTGCAATAACTTCTTAAATGTTTTGATTTCTTGGTCATTGGTTGGTGTGTTCATTATCAAATATAGACGACAAAAACCCGGCTAATGACACTTGTAAACAGTGTTCAGCAAAGTATAGACTATAACGCAGTCTGACAGTGTCATGTGCGAAATTCAATCAAAACAAACAACCAGACAAAAATTATGACTTCACTCTGTAATAGTAGAGTCATTTTCAGTAGTGTAATAAAAATCAAGTTGCTGATTTGATCTCGAGGTTTTGTGTGCTTTTTAAAATGACATAGATTTTGACCATTGATGTTGTAGCAGTGGTTTCTGTTTTCAAGAGGGGCTGCAAAGAAGAATAGATTAGTCCATAATCGTCTGCTATTTTGTTAATCAGTTAATTATTTCAGTAATCTTTCAAGTAGAAATGTAAACATTTGCTGGTCAAAACTTGTTATTCTGCTTTTCTTTATATTATATAGTATGAAAAACGAAATATATTTCTGTTGGTTGGTCAACACCATCTTTTTTGAAGACATTACAAGGGACTTTGTTCACTGTTTATTGACATTTTATAGACTATATGATCAACTGATTAATTAAGAAAATTTATTTTATAATTAATTATATATATTAATTGCCACTAAAAGTAATCATTGGTTGCAGCCCTAGTTTACAGTAATGCTACAGTTTAAGTTATCAAAATCAGAAGATCCACTGATATCCAAAAGTTGTAAGAGTAGAGTTACTCCAAAGAGCAGGTAATAGCTGATGCTTCAAAAGTACATTTGAAAGCTTGCCGATATGTCTCTTATCATAGTAGTGGAGTACCAGATAAATAATAAACTGTGATAGTCAGCAAGATAATTGAATGAAAGAAGCAAAGATAGGGTACTTTAAATTTCCATTTTGTGCATCATGTTAGCGTGAAGACATTTTTCTTGTCTATAATGAAAATAGTAGAGGGTCAAAATAATCATGATTCTTCTCCCCTTGTCGCTGCTGTCAGGCGGTCCGGTATGCCCAAACAGCAGCAGCTCCAGCATCACAGCCCAGAGTAAAGAAGTTCCAGGTGTACAGATGGGACCCAGACACTCCAGGAGACAAACCCCGCATGCAGACCTACGAAATCGACCTCAACACGTAGGTGTTACAGCTTTTCTCTTTGAAGTGAGGAGGACAAGCAAGGCCAGTATGTGCTACAGTGTGTCAGTGACAGCTTCAACTTTCAAACTGTGTTGGCAGTTATTATCCACTTAAATACATAAGCATCGCAGAGGCTGTCATTGCACTTATACCGTGGATGCTTTATGGGCTCCTGTCAGCCAGTCAGTCAGGAACAACTATTTTCTGTGGGAATTGTATACAAGTGTTTATTGTTATTACAGTGTAGCTGTAGTGAAGGGGACTTTGTCAGATTAAGCATTAACGATTAAGTTAAATTGCAGCTTATCTTTTCTGATGAATAGTGCTGACTCAAGCGATTTTAATAGAGGTCCTATTAGGTCATGCCAATGATAATAACAGATTCTCTTGTTCTAGTCATGTTCACTTGCACTGATGGTGGCTTAGGGCTTAGGGCATTGAAAACATCACCCGAGCACGTGTAAACAGAGGGCACGATTAATGAACTGAGAACAAGCTTCAGGTGGATTTAACACAGGTGGCTCTGACAGCCTGGTATATTTCCGGTCCTCTTCCTTCATCTGTTCCTCTAATCAGCTTGAGGAGACTCAACTCTAGCACCTATGAGGATGCCATGGCAGTAAAACACATCCGAGTTGTCCGTTTTTACACTTATATTTATTTATTTATTGACTCACTGACTGGTTGTGTTCTTCTTCATCTAGTTGTGGTCCAATGGTTCTTGATGCCCTGATCAAGATAAAAAATGAGATGGACTCTACTCTGACCTTCCGTCGCTCCTGCAGAGAAGGTCAGTGACATGGAGGCTGGAGAGTGCTGCCAGAATAATTCTCAACTTTTTAAAGTGTGTCATCAGACATGAATTTAATGCAAAGGTTTACACATGCATTAGTTACATTTGACTTCAGATGATAGAATTATCAATGTGTAATTAACCTGTAGTAATTTGATTATTAGATTATCCCCACAAAAACTTCCAAATGACTCTGTTGTGATGTTGCAGACTACTTTTGTTTTGTTTTGTGTTTAAGGGAATATACCAAAGTTTTGGTAGATGCAGATACATTTTCTTTTTAAGTTATTATTTGTTCAAGTCAACCACTGGTAGATAATGCTGCACAATTGCCTCTTTCCCCCCAAGAAAATTACTGTCTAAATTACACTTCTGAGTTTGTTTTCCAACAAAAATATATCTATTACTACAATACAGTGATAAAATACTAAAGTACAGTATTTTAGTAGAACATTGTTCAGATTTTCCTGTCTCAGAAATGATATTCACAATGTTTTTTATATCTCTTTAATTGTAGGTATTTGTGGATCCTGTGCAATGAACATTAATGGAGGAAACACACTTGCTTGTCTTAACAAGATTGACACCAACATTAGCAAGCCAACTAAGATTTACCCCCTGCCACATATGTATGTGGTCAAAGACCTCGTACCTGTGAGTAACAAGTCCTGAGTTAAGAGTCCACTACACCATGGACGGTTGGAACAGCTCTGACTTGTACCTGATGTTACTTCAGTCATGTACCTCAGTTATGATTGATCAAAGTCATAATGTTAAACCTTGTAATAAAATGTAAAGAGTTTTAATTAATTTATCTTACCTATCATTACTCTGTGTTTATATGGCAGCTAAGATTGAAAATAATAATTGCATTTACAAACTCTATGGTAATATGACATGTTCAAACACTTCCCACAAGTTTTCACTTCTTTGTTGTTGATATATTTCTGGCCTTTTTTGAACCATGTCAAGTTAATCAGTCACATGGATAAATTCTATTATCACATTTCAGAAGCAGTTTACAAAGTTTTTTTTTTTTCAGTTAAGTTTTAGTCAGACATATTTTTTCTTCTGACTGGATCCCTAAATGCACAATTGTGTTTGCAGGACATGAGTAACTTCTACGCCCAGTACAAGTCTATTGAGCCCTACCTGAAGAAGAAGGATGAGTCAATGGAGGGGAAACAGCAGTACCTGCAGTCTGTAGAGGACCGACAGAAACTGGTACACCACTTTTTTTTATTTTGGTAAAGCGTTAAAGAATGGCTTTGTAGTGCTCAGAGTCAAATGAAAATGAATCCCCTTTTCTTGCTTTTCTCCTGTGTAGGACGGCCTGTATGAATGTATCCTGTGTGCCTGCTGCAGTACGAGCTGTCCAAGTTACTGGTGGAACGGAGACAAATACCTCGGACCTGCTGTGCTGATGCAGGTGTGTGTGTGAGCACATAAACATTTAGGATGGCTCATTGTATTCTTAATCACCTCAAAACACGACCATACATATAAATAATAAGAATATATCCTGTTGTCTCTCAGGCGTATCGTTGGATGATTGACTCACGAGACGAGTTCACAGAGGAGCGTCTGTCCAAGCTGCAGGATCCTTTCTCCCTCTATCGCTGCCACACTATCATGAACTGCACTAAGACCTGCCCCAAGGTAACCTGTCAGCACTCATCTACATGCACATGCACACCTCAGGCGATGCTACAGGAACATCTCTACTCTCTTCTTCAAGCGAGATGCAAAAAAAAATATGCCAGAAAGAATGAATCAGGGTGACTGGTTTTTAGCGAAATTCACTATCACACGTTTGTGGACTTTGTTGCATAGACACTTTACTGGCAGCAACACATCTTTTTAATGTGTTGATTTGTATCTGCATTTATTTATATCTGTTGGTAAAATCATTGTTTAATAATCCAGGTTATGATCAGAATACTACTTTATAGAAATAATGAAGTGGACTAAATGTTATAGGGAACATGGAAATTCTTTTAATGTATCTCTTGTCAAAATTTAGTTTTTACCTGATGCAAAAAGATTAAAGTTGAACTTAGGAAACAGGGATGTACCTTTATCTTGTATCCTTAAAATACAGACTACAGATGCTGTTTGTACTTTACAGATGCAACGTCCTGCCTCTCCATTCATCAAATATCAAAATGATTCTTACTGATCTCTCCTTATCCATCTCCTCTTTCTCTCAGGGGCTGAACCCAGGAAAAGCGATAGCTGAGATCAAGAAGATGATGGCTACATACAAAGAGAAGAAGGCTGCTGCCGTCTGAAACCGCAGTCGTCTTGTTTTACAACTTTTCCCTCCATGATTAAATTATATATTGATTAAAATGCTCAATGAGGTCTGAAGGGCCAGTACACCAGTCAACTCCCCCACCACTACACCCTAAACACCACAGAGTCAACTGATGCAAATAAGTGTGTGTGTGTGTGTGTGTGTGTGTGTGGTGGGAGGGATTGGTGTTACACAAACGCACATGTACAGTATAAATGCAGGAGAGAGAGAGAGTGTGTGTCTGAGTCTTACATGTACCGTAACCGAGGTATTTATCTCCAACTCCACTGTGTGTATGTTTGTGCACTAGGGAGACGTGATGCTGCGTATTATTAAAGTAAAAACGAGGCATTTTATTGTGCATAGACATTTTTTTAGCTTGTTGCTCTTCAGGCTAGCAGCTGGTCCACAGACATACAGTGTATATGTTCCCTCAGATCTTCCAACATACCAACAGCAGTCTTTGTTTTAATGGAAAATAAATAGTTTAAATGCCTGCCTTTGTTTTCATTGGGTGTTACTTACTGTCATTAATGCCACTTCTACCAGCCAACCTCAGTCATTAGTAGTCAGTGTCCACTAGGTGCCATTATTGTGCAGCTGTAAATGAACCATCAGCAGCTTTGTTACTGGGTTTACTTGAAGTCTGTCACGAATGCAGATGTTTGTGTTGATGTGTCTGTGTCACAATGTTCATGTATTATAAGTGTGACATTTAGTGTAGACAGGCATCTTATGTGCCCTACACGTGCTGTGACCTAAAGTGAAAGATCAAAGAACTGAATGAAACAGCAAAGCTCGCAGAGCCTAATTAGAAGTGGATACAGCAACACAATCTAATACAGCAGTACTGCAACAAATTGAGAAGCTCATATTCAACATTTGATTTGGGTTATAGACCATTATTTGTGGCATATTTGGCTCATTATATTGTGAGGGGAAACATGTTTGTCTCCTCTCCTATAAACAGTTACATGTTATAGGTAGGACTATGTAATTATATGTACACAGCGTTTTCCATTATGGAAAATTATCAACATAATTTAATCTGGATGCACTTATCTTGGCTAATTGAAGAATTGTGCTGGTGAGAATACAGGACAAAAAGTAAATTCAAGAAACTAAACTTGATATTTGAAAAATAAAAAATAGAACATCTCGAATGAATCATGAGATACTGCACATACATACACGTGAAGTAGTTTGGCTAATCACAGCTAAAAAGTTTGTTAAAGATGAAGGTTGTGTTGCAGTATGGTGGGATTTATTTCTCAGCTGTGGTCTCTTGGACTTGGTGTTTTGAATCTTATAGGATTCAAATAGTCTGAAAAAAATAATCCATCGGTTATTATCAGTATTAAATATATACACTGAGATTCTGAGACCTCAATAAGATTTTTTGTCATGATCACAAGCCAAACTGATTGATCTGATACATAGTTTTCACATCTTCATAGCTATTTATACAATAGTGACACCCTAACCCTAGTAACCTAGCAACAGTATGTATAGCAGTGATTTCAAGCCCACTAATACTAATACTAATACTACTAATAATTAGTTCATTTGTATATGTATGTGTATATATATATATATATATATATATATTACATCGGTGTCTGTTGGCTAACCGGTTTTGGTCTGACCCAGGTCTTGCAGGGACCGGGATTCCGGGGTTGGGGGCTGGAGGCTGGAGGCTGGGACTGGACGGGGAGGAGACTGCAGATGCGGGGTGGTACAATGTGGCGCTGCGAGGTCCTCCTGCACTCAGAGGACGCATGAGAGCTGAGGAAAGTCGGAGCAAACTGAACCAAAGTTAGGTAAGACACTCGGAAAGAAGTCTTAAGTTTGCATTTTTTACTTTTTGGTTTAATTGGATCTTCTTTTTTGGTTTCATTTTATGCACGTGATAGTTAAGAAAACTTGTGCTGAGAGTTATGGAGGAAAAGAAATCAGGAGGTATGAGGAGACAGAGTGCATGCAACCTAGACCTTGTTTCAAGGACATTAAAGCATCCCAGGCGTTTAACAGTCCGCTCAAAGCAGAGCGAATAACTGTGGATAATTAGTGTGCATGTTAATGGCTGTGGAGAGCTGACATGTGGTCCTGTGTTTTCACTGGAGAGAAGGAGGAGGAGGGACTTCACAGCACAGCCTGCAGCAATGGCACTACAATGGAGACTGGGTGCCAAGAGGGAAAACTTAAAAAAAAAATCAGCTGCTTCCAGAGGGTTTGGGTCATTGAGGGCACATGGAAAAATGATTTTTAATTTTTATTTATTTATTTGTCATGGTTGCATAAAATCAAAAGGCGTAAAATAGATGACAGCAGTCAAACCTCCTGTTGCTGTCCTCAGAAACTCTTACTAATAGTGTGTGTGTGTGTGTGTGTGTGTGTGTGTGTGTGTGTGTGTGTGTGTGTGTGTGTGTGTGTGTTATGTGTAATGTATGTACGTGTATGTTGTGTGTGTGTGTGTGTGTGTGTAGGGGGGGGGGGGGGAGATGGGGTCTCTAGCTGGGAAGGGAAGGACTAAATGGGGAGAGGGGGGCTAATCGCTCCCAGATGTGTGCTGTGAAAACATATGGTTTCCGATAGCCACTGTGATGCACAAGAAGAATGTGTGTGTGTGTGTGTGTGTGTGTTATGCTGGGACACAAACACACACACACACACACACACACACACACACACACACACACACACACACACACAGATTTATTGTTACATATGCAGAGCTTGTGCAAACAATGTTTCTGTCACGTTTTTTGTTCAGTGCGGCCTCACAAAAATCTGCATGCAGTCACACAGAGAGAGCTCAAAAGTCCACAGTGTAGGACGTGTTGAAAGCACAAATTAACTGCTTCATGTTGTGTGCATGAAGAAGTCTACAGTGCAGCAGCGGAGGAGGAGCGTTCATACTTTCCACAAAGTGGAAAAGTAGTTTAGTCAGTGCTGCAGGAAGCTAAGGTAATGGATTTTACTGTATGTAACACACTGTGACTTCCCGTATCTCATTGACAGCTTGAGAAAAAAAAACACTGACCAGGTTTGCTAGTCGGTGATGTCTTGGATGTTGTCAGTGTTTTTTCTGTCCTCATGTCATCTTGACTCAACCTGAGAGGCCCTTTTGTTTGGTGGAGTGAAGAAGAAAAGAAAAGGGGGGAAGAAGAGGGGGGGGGGGGGGGGTTTCGAGGAAATGAACGCAGTGAGGGCGACAGAAGGGAAATGAAGGATGTGGAGACAGACGGATAGAGGGAGGGAGGGAGAGAGGGAGGGATGAAGAAAACTCAGAGAGTGGGGTGGGGTTGAGGGGTCCTCTGTTTCTTTTCCTGGAATGCAGCCTCCAGACTGTCTGCTGCAGCGAGGAAAAGTAGGAAAACAGAGAGATTGTTCTTAGGAAGACAAACGTGCCACATTCTTGCTGTCAGAGTTTTCTCCCCCTCTTTTTCTTGCCGTGGCTGTTTGGGGCCATTTGAGGGGGGTTTGGTGGAGGGTGGGGAGGATGAGGGGGGGGGGTTACAGGCAGAGGAAGAGCAGTGGGGGGTTTGAGAGGTGATAGAGGGCAGGGGGAAAGAGAGGACAAGAGAGTTCAGGAGACCAAAGGCATATCCAGACCCAAGCAGTTTATTAACCTCATGTTGCTCTGCTTTGATTGTTCATCCTCTCCTCATGTCCCCTACAGTGTTGAAGTCAGTCTACCTCCCAAAGTGACCATGAGAGTCCTCCTACTAATCTGCATGCCAGGTAACTGCACTGTATTCTTCTTTCAGCAGAATTTGAAGCCTCTGAAAATGTGGTTTCAAATCTGACATATTAAATACTCATTACTAAATATAGAACTATAAAAGCTAAAGGAATAGTTTGATGATTTTGAAATTGCTGTCTTGCCCAGAGATAGAGAAGATAGAAGATTAAACACGAAACGCTCATGTCTGTACGATAAATAGGAAGCGACAGCCAGTTAGCTTAGCTTAGCATAAACACTGGAAATAGATGGAAACTGCTAGCCTGGCTCTGCCCATAGGTAACAAAATCTGACTATCCAACCACCTCTTTCAAACTGCATCCCACCCACTTCAAACCAGTGAGAAGAATACAACCAAAATCAAAAAAATACAACAAAATCTCTCATGTGCAACAACCAAAACAGTTCCAGCTTAGGCAGAAAATTGTTGGACACCATCGCTCATAGTAAAGAAGTTAAAAAAATGGTTTTGAAGGCCTTTAAAGCATTAAGTATTTCTTAAATAGCAGTAAGAGTAGCTGTGCTGAAAATTAATAGAAGCACAAAATAAAAATGGCCGAAGCCAATCAACTCAACTCCACCAGGTCACTACCAAGTCGGAGTGGTTCAGCAAGACTACAAGACTATGTCATTTTCTTCTTCTTACTGATTAAAAAAGTTGAATTTATAAGAAGAAAAATCAGTTTAATACACTCAGACATCCCCTGATGAAAACGTTGAATAAAGCATGGTGCACTGCAGAGGAGTTGTTGAAGGAGTTATTATGTTAATGGACTTAAAAACATTAAAGTGAATTCATGTAACTTTTACTAACTGTGGCCACAGGTGGAAGTTACAGGACAATGGTAAATGCTAAAAAAAAAAAAAAAGAAGTAGTGTAGGAAACACATTTGAAACCTTTTTGTTTAGAGGAGGTGGGTACGTGTTCAGAAATTGAAATTATAAAATCAAAAGTGATTACAGATATTAGAAAACACCTGAAAAAAGGCACCGGTGCATGATAGTGCTACACAGTCACAGTATTCAGAGCATTTGTAATTAGTCACTCTCCACCCCTGCATTTCATTCATCACCTCATCTTTGTGATTACTTTATTTGTCTAAAATGTCGACAGTTCTGCTGCTCGCCCAGGCCCAGTACCAGGAATCGTTTCCTTTTTTGGGTGAGTTCATTAAGAGAATATTGGCCTGGATTGTTCCAGCTCAGCATCGGTTTATATCAGCGCTCTCCACATCTGTTCCTGATCTCCCGTTGTCCTCTGATGTGTCACCTAGCCTCAAGGAGTTCTCTCTCCTCCTCTGATTGTTATTTACCACCCGCATAGCAACTGTTGTCACAGTGTAAAACTTTGACCGCTCTGCATGTTGTTATTTGTAAACATCTTGCATATGAGGTCATGGATTACACCCTCACAAGCGGCTCATTTTCTTCAGCTTTGGCATGCAGGTGGCTCCGTTCATACGGAGCAGTGCTTTTTGTGTGTGTGTGTGTGTGTGTTTGTGTATTTGTGGGGGAAGGGGACAGACTGTAATTGGTTTCACAATGTTGATCTCATGAAACATTTTTCTCTCCTGCTTACTTTATGGCTTCACAGAGGACTATGATCCAGATTATCTTCCAGGTAAAACATTTTCAGCTCCATAGAGATGTTCCTCGATGTTCTCGAAATGTTACTGTGATGTTTAAAAAGGGATTCCTCTCCTTCTTCTTTTAGGGAATCCAGATACTGAAAACCATGATTCCCTTCCTGGAACCTACCAGCAGCAGGTTCGACTGGAGCCAGTGATCCGTCCAGAAAAATCAGGTATATCTGCTGAATTCTCCTCCTGTCACATCATGATATTTAAAATAGCTTTGTATTGTGTCAGTGACTCATTTTTAAATCTGTTCTCCACGTGCGTGTCAGGGTCCGAGTTGGAGACAGAGCCCACCGAGCCCGGGCCTCTTGGTGAGAAAGCTGCAGAGATGAGAACAATTAGAATCAGCTGTTTTCTTTGAGTGGAGATGTGATTTTTCTTTGTGTCTGATTTCCAGATTGCAGAGAGGAGCAGTACCCCTGCACCAGACTCTACTCTGTTCACAAGCCATGCAAGCAGTGCCTCAACAGCCTCTGCTTCTACAGGTATGTGAGCCTAGGACTTTTGAATGACTTACGGACAGACAGATCACCCCCGAGTTAACAGCCAGTCATTATCTCTTTTGCACTTACGTCAGTGACAACCCCTCTGAAGTCTGTTGGACAAACAAACACACTGAGTCACTGCACATTGATCCATTTCAACCTCCTCCCAAAACTATTCAAACTACTGTCCCTGCTCCAAAAAGCACACAGTGTCTGAAGGACTGGGACAAAGAGAATCCTTACCGTCTACAAATGCCATGAAAAGAATGAAACTAATAATGCATTAGCCAGTTCCTGTGTTTCTCAGTACTGTGACACATCTTTTTATTCCTAATGAAGATGTGAATCTTTAAAAAAACTGGTGTGAAGACCCCACCTCTGTTGGCTGGTCACTAATATACATGTGCATGTTTTTGAAGAAGACTATTTCTTACAACAGCCGGGCACCCTAGTTTTTTTTGTTGTTGTTGTTTTGCAAACATTACTCACACAGGCGTAAATAGTACATTTGTTGGGGACTGTTTTCTTTTTCAGTGTTTACAGCAGCAGGCCAGTGTATGTGGTATCTACTTAAAATAAATGACAGCGCCCATGTTTTCGTCGCTATGAAGAAACATGTCACCCGGCGTCACTGTGTGGTTCACGGATCTGTTTTTAATCGTTTCTGGACGACAATGGAGGTTTAATGCGCCGATTAATGAGTTGTCTGGTTTTTCGCAACATAGATACTAAGATCACTGGCACTTCAGTGTTTCAGCCTCACGTGTGACCTCTACATGTGTTTTCACTCAGTTTGCGACGGGTATACGTCATCAACAAGGAGGTTTGCGTGAGGACCGTGTGTGCGCATGAAGAGCTGCTCAGAGGTGGGTTCAGTGTATTGTGTGTTTGTTCATATGTGTTTGTACACAGTTATTTGAACTCGGACTCTTCTCTGTCTGTGTTTAGCGGACCTGTGTCGCGATCAGTTCTCCCGCTGCGGCGTGGCAGCGCTGAGCGGACAGTGTGCATCACTAGGAGGAAGCTGTGGAAAGAGCTGCGGTGGCTGCTGATTGAGCACTGAGATCAGGGACACTACCTGCCCAGATACTGCCGCTTTTCTACCAACTCGTCCGCACCCTCTGACTTTGTCCGCCTTCTTCCCCGTTTCTCCTCCTCACTTCTCCTCGTGACTCCTCTGTACAACTCATTACTCTTGTGCGAAAAGCACCTCTGTACCACTTCTCTGTATCTTTTATTTTTCCACATGTATGTCAGCCCAGTAGATCCTGTGTGTATGGTTAAATATACTCCAAAGAACGTTGATGATTGTATAAATCACTGGTGCTATAAAATCATCACACTGGTGCTATAAAAAGTTAACCTTTAGAGATGCACATAAAACTGCAGAACATCTTTTTTCTATTTTTTTGGCATATTGTATCATATTAATCTCATGCTTTGTGTTTGTTCATATGTTACTGTACTTGTGTTGAGAAGCAGTCATTGTCAAGATGATCAACTCATCAATGGCGGCCACTGTGCACTGACATCAGACAAAACGAATCAATATCCAGCCGTCAGCCGTCTCGTCCTTGAAGATCATGAGACGTGTGAAAGAAACAGGTGGTGAGTGACCTCAGCTTTTGTACTACTGCCACCTGGATCTGTGCTTAGCAACCAAGCAGCAAGCTTATATAAATATATTCCAGTGGCAACAAGTGCTCTGAAAAGGCATCTCACAAACGGCCTCTGTACTACTGCTTTGTTAAACTGTCACTATAAAGACTGAGGAAAAAAATAAACTTTTTTTTTTACTACAGCTGTTCGGTGTGTGTGATTGAGTCAAACATGATTCATTGCGGTAACGTAATCAGAGGCTGCAGCTCAGTGCTGAAAGGTATTTATGGAGCACACAGTGAGTTTATTCTCCTGCAAACATGTGGCCTCCATGTGTACTGTCCATACAAGTCACATTGCTGTTATTAATCATCAGTCCGTCGGCTTCATACAGTAAGTAAAAAGTATATACACCAAATAAAACTAGTAATAACTATTAAAAAAACATACTGTAAGTATACTGTCACACTGCAGCACTCGACTGCTTCTGGTCCCTTTTCTCAGTTATAAAATAGAGTCTGTGCACATAATCAGTAAAATCTGTGTCTGTTTCTAAGAAAAAAAATACAGGGCAGTTGCCTTATTATGCACAATTCGTTTGTTTCCTGGCACTCGCGCTCAGTGAAGACCTTCCTTCTTTCTTTTTCTGTCCTCGACTGTTAATATAAATGTGGAGGAATCGATGCCAAACTGCAAAACTGGCAGAGTTTCCTTCCTGCGCTACATCCAGATTCTGTGTGGAGGAGAATCCTGCGGTGATTTGGGTTTCTTTCTTGAGTAAGAGCAGGAAGTTTTGCGAAGATGTTGAGCAAGGATCAAGTACAGATGGTTGCCAGTAATCAGCAGGCTGCTGGCGTTTTCAGCACAGCTGCGGAATCACATCACTGCGTTCCCTCGAGTTAAGTGTTCTTTACTGTACAAAATATTTAAAAAAAGAAAACGCCATCAAGATGACACAAGTGTTCATTTCAGAGTCACAAAATAAAAGGAATTTAAATAGTTAAGAGTTTGAACACTTTGAGAAACATTTGTGTGGGTCAATATTGCTTTTCAGACATTCGTGATGAGTGGGGTTTTCCCTGGATTACAAGGTGGTGTGCTGGTGATTCTGGGTTTGAGCTCTTGATCTCAGTTTCCTGCCAACAGTAAGGACGATGGAAGAGGAGGTTGCCGCCGTTTCATCTCCTGCTGCAGCTGCTCCTTCAGGGTGGATACCTGGGGGGAAAACAGAGGGTGAATAAACTATATTCTAAATTTCTATACATCTGTAATTTAGATCACATGGTTACAAACTGATGCCAAAAGGTTCTCCCTCAGGTGGCTGCAGATAACAGAGGGATGAGGACCTCGCCGTGTCCCATGTGTTTCCATGTGGAACTGTGTATCCATGTAAGAAGTGGGAATAACAGCTGTGCGGCTGTGCGGCTATCTTATTTAATAGGGACGATGCAATTTAACATAGTTCCAATACAAAAGCATGAAACTGATGTGTTAAACAGAGACACTGATGAGTGCACAGGGCAGGCAGGTTTGACTTGGTTATAACGACTTACTATAAGCCTGTCTCAAGCTAAACAGACTATTGTAATGTAAAAAGGCCACCAACGATTGAACACGCAACAACACTGCAGGTGGACAGGAGTATTTTCTGACCATTTTTTTGGTACAGCACAGATACATTCTTTTATTTTGTTGAAGCTAAAGAAAAAATCCAAAAAGCTGAAGCAAAGCACTGCTGAACCAGCGTGTGTTCAGAGGTAGGTGACACAAACAGTAGAGATCATCGCCTCAGGCTGAGTGACGCTATGAAACCACAGTGAAGTTCTTTAATTCCCTGGTTTTGGTTTTGGTTCAGAATGTTATTGTTCGTCATCTCCATGATTAGAAGCCACCAAACTCTGTGATGTGTGTGAGGACCATCCATCTTTGTAAACAGGCTAGTTCATACTCTATACTGGTCCATCAGCCTCCCACTGCTGCTCTGCTGCTTCATGAAGTTTGTTTTAAAAGAAGAAAAAGTCTGAAATTAGCAGTGATTCGTTCTTGAAGCATTCACCTCAAACTGTAGCTCAACAAAAGCAGCTTTATTCTTTATACTTGTATCATCAAAATCACGACTCTGATCATACAGGTGTGATCACTCATTGCAGCAACAAATAAAAAAGTGTCAAAGGTTAAACCTGAGAGCCCTCAGCCAGTGCAGCGTGCGTACCTGCTCCTCCAGGCCTTTGACTCGGTGTCGGTGAGCTCGCTCTCTGGTGCCCAGCGTTCGCTCGATGTCCCTGAAGCTGGTCTTCACTCTCTCCGCCTCCCGCTGAGCCTCGTCACGCTGTCTCGCCAAACTCTCACACAGACTGTGTGACTGCTCCATCTCAGTAAGCTGAGTCTGTTCATCACACACACACACACACACACACACACACACACACACACACACACACACACACACACACACACACACACACACAGTGTGTTCTTGATCAAACACAGACAGCTTACAACCCGATGACCACGTTGGAGGCTCTGTGGTGACCGAGGGGAAAACCGTACTCATGTTTTCTGAAGTTGCACTTAAGTAAAGCTGTTTGGAACAATATGAATGTAAGCACAAAATCATGGGATTTGCCTTTCCAAACAACTGTGCTGTGATGCGCCTATAGGGAACATTGAGGAGACTATATTTTGCTGGTGTAAAGCTGATCCTCGAGGTAAAAAGCAGCAGCTTCGTGTATTATATTTATTGTACCGTCTCATGTTCTCGCTTCTGAAGCCCCTCCCCAAAAAATTTAAGTATAATAAAAAAGAAGAATTATACATTGCATTACATTAACACAAACATTTAATAATTAGGTATTTAGTCACAGAATTTAAAGATGAGTATATGTAATAAATCTAATGTTTTCTCCTGGTACGGCTAACACCTGGGATCTTTATAAAGCCTGGAGAAGCTTTTCCACCTCTTCCGACTAACTTTCACTTCAAGTTCAGTGGCTCTGATTTTTTTTTTTGTATGTCAACCAGCAGCTGTGTGGTTTAATAATAAGTGAAAGGGAAAGAACTTACATACCCCAAAAACATTCAGTCAAAAAAGTTCACTAACTATGGAATTAATTTGTCGTGGTAAAGAGCAGTTTTTCTCACTGTGAAGTGTGTTTGGTTTTGTCCTTCAGTGAAAGGCGATGGACTCCAGGCTGTGCGCAAGCTGTCAGCTGTAATCGCAGGTGTGAAGCAACAGCTAAGAAAACAACTTCTGTGGCGAGTCGTGTCACGAGGATTCACTTTGAGATAACTTTTTGAGGGTTTTTTCTGCCTTTATAACGCACAGTATGTCGTAATGAGGACCGATCTGTCAGTGTATTGCAGATCACCTCCTCACCTGCAGCATCAGTATCTGTTGCTGTGCCTCCTGCAGCTCCTGCTCGGTGGTGTTCAGCGAGCGATCCAAACGGCTCTTCTCTGCAGACAGTCGCATGCTGCCTTCTTCAGTCTTCAGCTTCTGACGCTCAACCTAATAACATTTGTATTTATAGAAATATAACCAATAGAAAGAGTGAGATCCCTTGCACAAAAAAAAAGTCAAATGTGAAAACCTGATTGTGATTTCAAAGCAGAAAACAGAGAATAGAAAATAGAGAAAAATGCCTGTCGTAATTACTCAAAGCTCAAGTTAATGTCATTAAAATCTTGGTTTTGTGTGACCAACAGTCCGAAACCTAAAGATCTTAAGTTTGTTGCGTTATAAGACAAAGAAGAGCAGAAAATCCTCACTATTGAGAGGCTGAAACTCGCTGAAACACAACCCTAATTAAATAATTGAGCTCTATTGTACAGCAACTGGTGACATTTGTGTATCAGATGTTTTTTGAAACCAGAGGAAAGCTCAGATGAGGACAAAGAAAGCCAACAATACTTTATGTCTTGCGCATAAAAAATGTCTGCTCGAACTCATAAAAAATATTTACTGCATCCATCTGACCCGAGGAGGTGCGTCTTTAGCAACACAATTTGAGAAAAACATGTAGCACACTTTCTCTGACACTGTAAATTTGGAAACTTTCCAAACGGCTCACGGACCTTTGAGTTTCTTAAATCACAAAAGGCTCTTTGTAAAGACAGTGCTGACCTTATCTAGTGTATTCCTCAGTGCATTCTTGTCTTTCTCCAGCCTCACAGCCTGTCTCTCAGCATCTTTTTTCTCCGTCTCAAGCATGGCGACCGCTCGCTGCAGCCCACGCAGTCGCTCCTCTACAGCGGCCCGCTCTGTCTGAGCTGACTGGGCGCTGCGCTGCGCCTCCACCAGGGCAGCCGAACGCTGACGCAGAGCCTGACAGGGGGAAACACACAGATCGCACACGATGACATCAAGCGCAGGAGTTACACTCCTGCTACAGTGAGCCTTGAGTTAGGGTGTTTGCTGAGGACTTTATTTGGGCAGATGTTTGTTTGAGATTATCTACACCTCTTGAGCGTTATTGAGCTCAGCCTCCAGCTCCTCTCGTCTCAGCTCACTCTGGTTCAGCTCGCTCTGCAGGCTTTGCAGGCGCTCAGCGAGGGTGGCCATGCTCCTCCTCGATTCAGCAGATGATGCCCGGACTTCGTCCATTCGTTCCTTAGTGACACAGAGTAATCACCGCATAAACATTCACTTTTTTCAACCACATTGTTTCAGGCTTTGTCTCCTTCTGTTTCACCCACCTGTAGAAGTCGTTTGTCCTGTTCAGCCACACTCAGTGTCTTTTGCAGAGCCACCAGACGACTCTGTGTGCTGCTGTGAGCAGCCGCCGCCTCCTGAAGGCTCTGGTTTAGAGAAGCGGTTTTCTCTTTGAGGAAAGTTTCACCTTCCTGAGCTTTGAGCAGAGCCTGGCTCAGCCTCTCCACCTCTCTCTGCAGCAGAGACACACGAGCTTCTCCTTCTGCCACCTGCGGGTTGTAAAAATCACATTCATGCACAATTCATTCGGCAAACAAACAATAAGAAAGCAATACATACTTCCCTTAAAAAAATATTACAAACTTACAGACCCGTAAAATAAAGTTTTACCAAACTCAGTAACTGACATCGCAAACTGTGTGTTTCAAACCAGAATAAACAGATGCAGCACTCAGATATGAAAAGGAAAGGACTCTGTATCAGCCTGTGCTGTACCTGTTTGAGTAGAGAGTCATGGCGGTCCTGGGAGGCCTGGCTG